TCGTCTTGGTGATTCCCCTCTGCTATTGGACCTGGAAGAGTGGTGTGGGAGCGGATATGAGTGATAAAAAAAAGAGAAGATCTGTTATCAACAACATAAAGTAATTTTTGGAATAAATAGAATAACTTCATTTTTAATATTTTTCAAATAAGAATTTTCACAGCGTTGGACAACGCCAGCGACATATGCTGAATCAGAAATAATGTTAGGTTTATCTGGGAATAAGGATAGAGCTCAAACAACTTCTGATAATTCGACCAGTTGTAGTGAGCCTGGAATGTATGTCCTGTTTCCACTCCATATGTTCTTTCTCAATTATCACCGCATTTCCAGTAGTCCCCGAGCTATCTGTAAATACAGTCCGTGTGTTAGGGATAGGATTTTGAGTCCAATTCGAACTATATTCTAACGGAATTTTATTTATGTTTTGCACGAATTTGCACAATGGTAAATGTACTTTCATTTGGCCCACAAAATCTGAAAGGGAGACTTGGAAATCTAGGCTCATTATCAACATTTGCTCCAGGAGCTGGGAAGTCTCTTTTGGGTCTGAACCTGAGAGTTCCCAGCACCTCGTCTGGCCCTTTAAACATAATTTGTCTAACAGTTCGGGTAAGGAAATCAAAGTTTTGGGAAACTGGTGAGGAAGGAAGATCCACTCCCACAAACACATCTTACTGTTGCTGGAATAGAAATGGCCCAATAGTGCAAAAGGCTGAGTAGGTCCTCTCAACACAATGAGCACTGCATCTTCCTTTTCTAGTCTTCAATGTACCTGCAAGGAATTGATTTTGTTAGTAACAAGTTCTACGAACTCTGGCCTCTGGCATCAGTGTTTGGGGAGATGTTAATTCAGAGTTCCCCTTTAATAATTCAAATAGGGGATGTAAATCGTCTGTAACTAGGCCTGCTACGGGACGCAGCCAGTTGAGAGTCCCTAGGATTGTTTGCAGGTCGTTGAGAGTTGACACCTGTACAGGAATGGTTATTTTCTGAGGTTTTATAGTCAAGTTTGTAATTTGCCACCCCAGATATTTCCAGGGGGCAGACACTTGTATTTTTCCTGGTGAAACAGTAAGTTTATTCTCTGAAAGGATGATAAGGAGTGCCGTTGTAACTTCGTGAAGGCTTGTAGACAATGAGGTTGACAAAAGAATGTAATCTGTATAATGTGGACAGATGGCATATGGAAATTTAGACCTGACTGAAGATAAAATATTGGCAATAAAGCTTTGACAAATGGTTGGACTGTTTCGCATCCCCTGAGGAAGAACTGTCCACTGATATTGATGGAGCGGTTCAGTGAGATTTTCTGTTGGAATTGAAAAAGCGAATTTCTCTTGATCTAGGGGATGTAAGGAGATGCTAAAGAAGCAGTCTTGGATGTCATGGGCCAGTTTTTGGGGATCATGGAAGGTGCTGGCATTCCAGGTTATAAGGCTCCCATCGGTTTAATTGCTTTATTAATTTCTCTAAGGTCCTGGAGTAATTTCCATTTTCCTGAGTTTTTCTTGATACAAAAAATGGGAGAGTTCCATGGACTTTTAGATGGAACTCTGTGGCCCAATTTTTGTTCTTCTACTAGATTTTTTTAATGCTGCTAATCTTTCCCCTCTGACAGGCCACTGGTCTACCCACGTTGGGCAGGTGGACACCCAATCTAGGTGGATTGGTTGTTGAATGCCAGTGGCCACTAGGATAAATTTGTAGACAGAACAACTGCCCATTGGTCTAGGACATCTCGTCCCCATAGGGTGAGTGGCACTTTTAGGATAAAAGGTTTTATAGAGGCAGTTCGATTGTCTGAATTGGTAATTCGTATGATGTCGTGAATTTTCATGGGTGTTTGGGTGCCACCAACACCTGTTACCTCTGTGTATGTTTTCGCAGGGGTCCAATTTCGAGGCCAGTCTTTAGCTGCTATAATTGTCATGTCAGCTCCTGTATCAATCAAACCATTCACTGTTACTTGTTGTCCTGCTAAATGAGAGAAGATTTGACATGTTAACATTGGTCTGGTTTTCGATACTTGTGTCCAATTCACAGATGGACATACAATGCTCAAAATGTTGCAATGGTCACAAACATGTGAGAGGAGTGTCAATAAAGAGCTCTATTGAAGAATAAGAAAGTTGCACAGTTACTTTTAAGTCACTTAAATTCCCATTAGGAACAATTTCAGGATTGATTGTAATTCCTTTTTCTTTACATTCTAAATGCGAGGATAATAAAAAGTTATCATTTCCTGCAGGGTTTTTGTCAGGAATAACTGAAATTTCCTGTGGATCTAATTTTTCAATGACATAATTTCTTGCAGGAAACAAAGTTACTTTGTAAGTTTTTAGTCTGTCTCTTCTGCCATTGGAGTGGGAGTTTGTTGTTTATCATGGTGGAATTTTGGGGCTCTTGGGGTCATCGCACAGTCCCTTGCACTCTCTCTCCCGTTTCCCTGTTTGCAGCACTGGCAGTGTTTTCTGTTTTGTAGGGGACTCCCATCCTTACATTTCGTTGAATGGCAAAACCAATGCCAGTGATACCCTTTTTGGCATCTGGGACATGGGCTTTTTGATGGAGTAGGGGGTTTCCCCACTTCTGGAAATTCATGTGAAAAATGAATTTTTCACAAATCAATTACATTTAACACATTTATTTTTTGTTTTGTCTGCTTCTATTATAACACCTGTTATTACTTTTGTTCTTGCTTGTTCTGCTTCTACTAAGGCATCTGCAATAATTTTTCCTTTATGTTGATTAGAACTGATCTCTTTGCAGGCCTGTATCATAGATGTAGGCATGGGGTTTGAGAGTGCTCGCAGGACTGGTTGACAGTCTGAATTAGCCTGTTCAATTGCCAGTTTTAAAAACAATGCATCCTGAGCTTCTGGATGTTTTATTTGACGGATAATTGCATCTCACAAATGGTTGGCAAAATCATAAAAAGGCTCTTTAAGGCCTTGTTGTATGTGAGCAAACAACAGTGTTGTCCTTGTTGCTTCTGCAACTATCTTTATAGCTCTAAGTGCCAGACTTTTGGTTTCATCTGAATAATCCAGAGGGATTTTTGCTTGTGCCCGGTTAGAGGAATATGGACCCTATCCATAATAACGGTTGATTGATTCTTGTACTGGTACTCGACGGCTATTAAGGGACTCTTGTGCAGATTGTCGGATTAAATTTTTCCATTCGTGTTCAAAAAGCATATATTGCATTGTATTTAGAATTGCTTGGGTAACTACTCTAATGTCATTTGGGGTAAATGTATAGGCAGCAGAAAGAGAGTCTAACATTTCAGTAACAAATGGAGAGTTAAGTCCATATTCAGTTAAGGCTTTTTTTGTATCTCTCAAAATCGGATATGACACTGTTAAGATTCTGCCTCAGTTAAAATGTTAAATACATTTCAGACATTAAATGTCTTTTGGACTATTTGTTGAATATTCATGGTTTGACTTTTCTTTGCTCATTACAGCACTTGAATTGTTTTCTTTATGAAGATTTTTTTTTATATACAATTGCTTAAGACTATTTCCTGTATATTTTTATTTCTCCTAGCTAAATGTAGCTTAAATGCATATTTTTTAAGGTGGGTTTTTCTTAGTTTTCTTCAAGTCCTACAACACATCAGTTGTCTTAGATTTGTAATAGGAGAGTGCTGCTTGAAGTCCTTGCCTTGAGACCTCAGTTTCCAAAAACTTCACTTGAAATTCCATACCATTTTTGTTTAATTCTTTATTTACTCAAGATCAGACTAGATATTTTAGCAGTCATAAAACTTTATGAAAAAAAGCCATGTTATTGGGTGGTCTGTGATGACAGTGCAGTTTAGTCTTTAAAATCACTGCTAACAGTAGACTACACAGTAGTAATAATGGAGAAAAATAGTTCTCCATATATCTACTATCCTTATTGGTCACTGTTATAAAATGCTTCAGCTATTAAACCTTTTGTGTACAGCTGGATATTTTCATCCACCTTAGATCACATTTACACACTCATGTACTACTGTTTCATTCCCTTACAGCTCTGAAACATTACCATTTTAGAAGAGCAAAAGTTGCACAAGTAGGATTTTCTGGCTTCTGTAGATGGCTGATAGCCACGATGGAAGTTAACCTGTACTGTGAGAAGACGAATAATCTGATGAGTTTCTGCTTCTGTCACCTTGATGCTGGAATTACCTGAATTATTTGGCCATTTGTAGGGAATGTATGTTTCTCAGACCTTTAGTTGCAGGTATATGATAAGAACTTTGGCTTATGCCAAGGAATCTTTGAATATCCTTACTGTTGCAACATTTATTTTCTTTCTGCCTAAAACAGAAGCCAGTAAGGGCATCAATGTTTAAAACTCAGTTAAGAAACAGGAAAACCATGAGATGAGATAGTTTGTAACTAAAGTGTTAATGACTTATCAGCTGACATCCTACAAAGTGTTCCAGAGATGATAATAGCTCTGCACTTAATAACCACGTAAGAGTGGCTCTGCTCATCCCTGTTACCCGAGCTTCTGTGCTGTCTTTTTTTTTTTGTCCGTGTGAAAGTTATGGATTCTGTCCATGTGAAAGATTGTAATGATCGATGATGTTCAAAAGTGTTGTTTCAAAGAAATGCCTTTTAACTGAGAGAAGGATTTAACCAATGCAAGCAGTTTTGTGACTCTACATTGCCAAGAAGAGAAGAAAGCATTTTGTTCGTTCTGTGTCCATTGTACACTTTCTGCTTTTGGGAAAGAATGAGACAGATAATGTCAACTACTTAAAAATGTATTTTAAGACCTCTTGCTTCTATTTCTTTTTGAACAACGTTGTGTTAGCTGTTTTCAGATGTAATTTGCTGTCACTTGCCATATGCTCCCTGATTAATTCTGCAAGGCCTGTCAGCTTCAGATAATTTAATTTTCTGTGCTTTAAAATGACATTCATTATCAGGACATGAAAAATTCAAATGATTAACTGCAAATTATGACTATTAAAGTGTCTGGGTTTTTTTGTTTGTTTCCAGAGAAAAACAGAAAGCTGAAGTCAAGGACAGAAGAGTTTTAGAGCTTTTAGAAGCCAAAGACAGCAAAATAGAAACACTAGAACAGGTTTGTATTATGTTTAAACAGAGCAGTTAAAAAAACTTGATATTGACATGACATTTATATTTCCTAAAATGAGAAAATAGTTTACTGTTGTATCTTAAGGAGAAAGTTGCAGATGATTCAGAGATTATAACCTTCTGATAAAGTATTAATTTAATTCTTCTGAGTTCTTCAAACAGTTGATCTTTTACCTAAACGTTCCTATGATTTTAGATGAAACTTTTTCTGCAAATTTTAATTGGTCATTCTCTCATTTTGCCTAGTGGGCTAACCTACACTTGGATTTCAGTCCAGAAGAGCTCTGACTATGTTTAGGGTTGTAATGTGCCCATGGTTTGGAAAGATTTGCCATCCTAACAAGTACAAAAAAATAAACCTGATGCACCTTCTGCCTGACAAGAGTGGTGGTGTTTCTCCTTTTATTATTAAATAAATTCATATTTAAATGAATATATAGAAAACATATATACATTATAAATATGATGATATACAGTAGATACATTATATGTTATTATATAATTGTTTATTTTTTGTACTAAATAATGTATAGTATATTATCTGTATGCCCTCTATAATCTATATTATATACTCTGTATTTTTATATTTATATCCAAGATATAATATATTAGTTATAATAGAATGTATTATATTGCATATAATATGTAGATATATGAAATATGTAAATATATAAATATGAGAATTTAAAATAAAATATTGTTTATTATTAAATAAACTTTTATTTTGTATTATAGCAGTGGTCAAAGTTTCAGTGTGCTGTCACATCCTTGTGGCTATAGGTGTGATGTGTAATGTGTTTGGTGCATGCACACACATCATTTTGATAAACCAGTAATGTATGATTCCTGTATTTCTACCCTGTCCCTATCTGAAAGACAAAATACTTGTCTAAGATGTTTATAGGAATATGTATGCAGTAATGTGCTTTTAAGAAGGGTTGACTGCTGTGGCAGCTTCTGAACCTGAAGTGTGCATCTGCATGAGATTGCACTCTGTGGTTTCAGATCAATTTCAGAAGCTGAAACTGTAATTCATCAGAAATCTGAAATTGATGTTGTGATGCATTTACATCATCCACATGGAAGTGGAGAGAGGCTGGAAAATATAACTGGAACCTTCATAAAGTGGCAGCCAGGAAAGAAGAGTTTTGTCAGCAGGATGGGAGAAACCCTGGATATACATAAAAACAGGGGAATGAGAGGCTAGAGAGCAGCCACACAGAAAATCCAGGGGTCCTGATCAACAGCGAGTTGAATATGAGTCAGCAGTGCCCTGGCAGCCAGGAGGGCCAACCGTGTCCTGAGGGCATCAAGCAAAGCATCACCAGCTGGTTGAGGGAGGGGCTTGTCCCGCTCTGCTCTGCACTGGGGTGGCCTCACCTTGAATATTGTGTGCAGTTTTGGGCACCACAATATAAGAAAGATGTTGAGCTGTTAGGGGGTGTCCAAAGGAGGGTAACAAAGATGGTGAAGGGCCTTGTGGGGAAGCCATATGAGAAGCAGCTGAGGTCACTTAGTCTGTTCAGCCTGGAGGAGAGAAGAGTGAAGGGAGACCTTGTTGTGGTCTACAGCTTCCTCACGAGAGGAAGCAGAGGGGCAGGCACTGATCTCTTCTGTGGTGACCAGCAATAGGGCCCGAGGGAATGGCCTGAAGTTGTGTCAAGAGGAGCTTAGTTTGTCTATTAGGAAAAGGTTCTTCACCCAGAGGATGGTTGGACACTGGAACAGGCTCCCCAGAGAAGTGGTCACAGCACAAAGCCTGATGGAGCTCAAGAAGTATTTGGATGATACTCTAGGGCACATGATGTGATTCTTGGGGATGGTCCTGTGCAGGGCCAGGAGTTGGCCTTGGTGATCATTGTGAGTCCCTTCCAACTCAGGATATTCTATGATTCAGCAGTCCTAACAGATGAGAACAGAAGCTGTTGTTTTGGTGATTGTCACAACTGTAATGCAGCCCTTTCAGTTAGCTTCCCTTGAAGTGTCATTGACTTGGGAGGTGGGTTGTGAAGGGCACCAGTTAGTGCCAGTGCTGTAAATAAAAGCTGTGTATAGAAGTGATGTCATTCTGACCTTCTTGCTTATCCACTGGCTGGGATGCTACAGGACTGAAACAAAGGATCGTTTTCTGAGTTCTGTTGGTTTGGTAGTAAAAGACTGGAGGTGGCATAGAAAACAATATATTGTTCATTTGTTTTGTTTTACTGGATTTTTTTCTTCTTTGTTTATCTAAGGAGGAAAAGATGCTATTTTTGTAATTAATATGCAAATAGTCTACCTGTGAAAATGTGTATTGTGATGATAATGACAATGAATATTCTTTTCTGTAAAGTACGGACAGCAAGACTTCAAGGCTGTGTATTGCAGTCTGTGTATTTTTTAAGTGTATTGCTGTGTATTGGTTTCCTCTAGGAAGGTGGGATTACCCAGTCTTGTCTTCTGTTGTTTGTCTCTTCCCCTTCATAGAATCATAGAATCAGCTGGGTTGGCGTCATGCAGAGATTCAGTTGCAACAGTATAATTTGTGGTAGGGTATTTATTTACTAGGAGTTTCTGAGTGGCCACCAAACAGCTGATTGTATGAATCAGTGTTGAATAAGGGAAAAGGAAAATAAATGACCTATCTCATAATTCAGCATGAATGTAAGCTGATATTGCTGCCAGAAACAACAAGAAAACCCTACAAGGAGAACATGAGATTGTATTTCTTCTCTTGTTTTCTGCTTAAACTTTATCCTGACATGCTTAAGAAGACTTTTAAAATTGCTGTAAGTAGAAGAGCGTATTCTTCACAGCCTAGGTGAGATCCAACTAGTTAATTCTACTGAAAGCTGAATGAGCTTAATTTGTGATGAGATATTTCAAGCGTTAGAACAGTTTCCATTTTAATGTATATTACTGAAAATCAGCTAAATTAATTTGGAAACTTGTGATGGAGAAGTAGTATGGTCTTTAATCATGTTTGTACAACCTAACAAGGAAGAAAAGTGCTCAGATATTCATGAGAATGGGATCTGTGCCCTGAGGGGTAAAAAATCAGTGTAAATCATAGTTTTTCTGAACTTCTGCTGTGCAATATCTTTGGAATACAGTACATGCATTGAACTTCTGTGTACTTAGAACATCTTCAGTCATGTACCTTTCCTAAATTACAGTGGTATAATCTTTTGTTTTATATAAATAAAATAGAATAAGACTTTTTTTCTTGACGTGAGTTTATTGCATAGCTTCATATTGTGTTAAACATTTTAAATATTAATTAATTTGGGACATTTAAATATGTACCATTCAAAGTTTCAAACAAATGCAGTATTTATTAAAGCACTTAAGGTTATTTTTGTGTATTATTGCACATAAATTCAGTACAAAATATATTGTATTGAAGTTTTCCATTGTACTTTTCCCTTTGTTCCTTTTTTTTTAAAATTTTTGTCTTTTTAATTGGTTGATTTGTAACTTTTTATCCTGATAGTCACAACTGGGCCTCATCTAGCATATAGATATATTTATTCTAAATGCTGTGTGGGTAAAATCTTACTCATTTGAGATTAGTGTCTGGATTTCTATAATGATTTTTTACTATAACTTTTGTTTCATGCAGTGGCTCAAAACTTTTTTCTCAGTAGTTATGTATCTCTGACATATATACATCACTTCTGCATGTGTTTCAAGGAAAAGAATTTCTAATTGCTACATTTAAGTGCATAAAACAGTCTCTTAGAATTTTAATTATTCATCTTCTGAGGGTTGATAGATACCTTGCTACAGAAATCTTGTTTCATGCTCCCTTTTCTTTGGAAACATTTTTCACTTGTTGTATTTAATTTATAATAATTGTGTATGTCTCATGGTGTCCTTTTTTTCTTAAAAAGTAAGGTGAGGTTTTGGACAAATGTATTACATTTTTAAAATCAAACAATTAGTTTAGTGGATAATGTGGAAACAGAGAACAGTCTTCTGCCATTCGTGCAATAGATAAATTAAAATATCTTAACCTGTTTTCCTTAGAAGACAAAATTAAAGATGTGTAAAAATAGCAGTAAACCTTTTCTATAACATTGTTAATTAATTAGGTTTCAATTTAGATCTGGAGGAACTAAAGCTAATCTTTTTGTCCTAGACCTTGTAATGTTTCAAAACCTTATCAACTGATTATACTCTAGAGGGGTTAAAATAGTACTAGCTTGCCTCATTATCTGCAGTTGAAAATCTTCAGCTTGCTGTGCAAATCTATATTAAAGCCCCTTTAATGGGTCCAATTGAAAGAAGCATAATTCTACCTTCAGGCATTAATTAACACTAATAAATTTTTCTTAACTTTTGTACCTTCACATGATTGTATTTTTCTTTGTAGTAAAATGCTTTTGTTAAATTAAGACAAAGGTATACAGACATTACTGCCATTTAAACACTTTATTTCCAGTAGCATATAAGCCTGATTATTCTTGTATAATGAGGTACAGGAGGATAATTTCAGTAATAAGGAGTTCGGATGAATGTGTCAGCAGTGATGAGATTATGCAAAGTTTATAAACTCTTTGCAAAAAAGTTTGTCTAGTGAAGGAGATTTATGAATACTTCAGACAAAATATGTCTGAGGACGCTAACACATTTTTTTTCCTTAAAAAGTTCATTTTACTCAATCTGTACACTGGAAAAGGGATCAGCCTTCAGTGGTGAAACCTGTGTTTTATGTAGCACCTTTGAACTGCATCAGTGAATTATCATATATCTTTATACCTTTCTGCTTGCCATAGTTAGTTTTCTCATAAAATTAAGGAAGGGAAATCTTGTTAAGGACTTGATCTCAGTGAGAAAGATGGGAAGGAAAGTATATTATTCACATAGTTGAAAGCTGCTGATTTTGGTTTATTGATAGAATGCTACCTGAGGTAGGTAGTGTGATGACTATTGCTAATATCTGTGGGCTTGTTTGTTTGAATAAATTAATAAGCTGTAAATTACCTTTACAGCTCATTAGTATTTTTGTTTGAATTCGTAGCAGGAATGCTTTTTCTACCTGTTGAAAATCTGTTCCTGTGAGGTAGGTAACTCCATTTTGAGGCGAGTAGTTTTCCTACTTAACTCGGCAAAAAAACAGCTATATTGGGTATTCCTACAGGTGTGCTGTAAATCCATGCGTTACCTTTTCAGTAATTTGCCTGTGTAGCCACTCCTGAAGTTGACTAAAGCTTCTGGATCTTTATAACTCAGCCTTCATACTCTTAGTGGTGATTCTACAAAACCATGATATGATAGCTGCACTTGGATTAGACAGGAAAAAGTACAGTAAGTAAAGAAATGTGATGTTTCTTGTCCTCTGCCCATTACATTAGTTTGAAATGCATGATTTCTTAAATATTGAGCAGAATATTTAAGCCTAGAAGGAAGAGGTAGGTCATCTTTATGATCTCATTCATCGTCTTGAGAGCTAGTGTCTAGTTTGGAAATTTCATTTTCAGTCCAGTTAAGCGTAGTTATTGTATAGCTAATGAGTATATTGTATAGCGAATAGCATAGCCTTTTTTTGTGAGGTAGAAATGGTTTCTAAAGCCATTGGAATCTGATTTTACTGCAGAAGAGATTAACTGCTTAACTGTGTTCAGTATACTATTTCATTGCTGTAGTGATGCTTTTTTTTTAAGTTCTAAAGTCAGTATGGTTTTAAGAGGTTGAAGCTGGATTTTATTCCCCCTTTAAGGATATTTGATGAGGAAGGTTTTCATGTATCATGGCTTTATATTGGAATACAGGCAGATTTCCTAAAGTTCAAGAAGATGGTTGTGCTTTAAGGATCAAATAGCAGTGCCCCGTGAGATTAGGTTCTGGCCTTGCGAATCTGCTGACATCACTTAGGAAGGGGCTTGTTGGAACACTTGATCAGAGCAACGGCTGTTCTTTCTTTGCTACACCTGATCTGGTAGCATTGATGTATATGAGGGTAATGAAATACTGCTGTGTCAGGCATAGATGCTAGTACGTATTGATTCCTGCAGATCTCAGATTGTCATGCACACTTCCAGAGGCAGAGGCTAATTCACTCTGAGAACGTTGTATAAGCCTTGCTGGAAAGGAGACCACAGGGAAAAAAAATCCAAACCTACATCCATCAAGATCATCCTCTTCAATGAGGATAAGAGAAAAGCTTATTTAGCAGATTGTTGATTTTGGTGTGAGATTAGTATAGGGAATAGGGGGTAGAAAAGATACTCTGGATTTTCTGTTGCCTGGCTTAGAAGGCTGTGCTGCTGCTTATTTTCATGACATGGTTGCTAAGAAGAAAGGAAAGAATAGAGAAAAAAATCAATTTATTGGGCAGTGTTGCTTTACAGCACTGTGTTATGGCTCATATAGAAAATCTGATCTGTCCTGATGCAGAGGATCACTAGTGGTGGCAAAACTGTCAGATTATATTGTCAGTGTTTGCAGTGGTTATCCTGAGAGCTGTTATACACTCATTAGAGGAAAATGGACAATTAATCTCTAAATGTAGCAGATGCATTGCTGCAATACATGCTGTACTGGTTGATATTGATGGTGCATTTATTATAGATGTACAGCTTTTCGATTTTGAAAAAATGCTGTTTTATTTCTAAACTAGAGGTGTATTTTTGTGAAAAAATGCCTCTAAGTATTTACCCTTTAAAGGGGAAACAGCTTCTGTATTCCTTGTTTCAGAGATGGAAAACCTATTGCACAGATGCCAGAAAAAGCATTTGGTTCCCTTATTAATGCAAAAATGCAGCTGCTGTTAGTTTTTTCTTGCACTATACCTGTGCAGCAGAAGAAACCAGGAGAAAGGGATACAAGGGGTTGCAAGGTATTGTAAGAAAAGATCTGTAAAGCTTTGTTTTAGTGGATGGAAGAAAGAATGTGCTGCAGTGGAGTTGTAAGGAGCAGCTTGAGCGGAAGGAGATGGTGCACATCGTAAAAAAGTTTTGTCCATACTGTGACCTACTCAGTAGGTTGTTGATGAGAGACAGTTCCATTGCTGCTAGACTTGCAGGGGTGATACACTCCATGAAGCTACTGTTTATTTCCACCATGTGTTTAAATACTGAAAAATTCTGACAGGTGTTTCGATTAAGATAGCAAACTCTGCTGAAGACACCAAATTAATCACATCAGATAAGTCCAAAGAGGGCTATAGGGAACATGATGTTTATAGTAGATTATGCTGTTTGACCCTTCCTTAATCTGTGGGTCAGGTGAGAATTCAGGAGCAAGGCCGACTAATAGTAGAGGAGTAAATACATATTCCCTACCTGCAGGATGAAGTCAGCTGCTCATATTGTGGGTCTGCTTCTCTGTAGAACCATTTTACCTGATCCTCTTAAAAAAAGGGCTTTAAAGAATCTTCATTTTCTGTTCTATTTCCTGCAAAACAGACCTGCCCTTTTCCTCCAGAGCATAAATGGTAGGAAAACACATTTGAATGGACAGTGTTTTAAGAGTGTTCTTCCTTGTCTACATCTTTAAGTTACCATGTTTTACTTCATGTCTAGTATTGATAGAAATAGGCATTCAAAAGTTCTCATTCATTTTGGAAATTCATTTACATGTGCTTGCTTACAGTTTCATACTGCTTTTCCTCAGAAACAATTTTTTAAATTGTTTTATCTCAAGGAATCCTGGAAAGCATGGGATTGGATGAGGAAAAACAAACCAACTTCTGCTAGTATGAAAATCAAGTGAGCTCCCCTACTTCAATTACTCTCTATTTATGCTTGGTTTTTTAATTTATTTAAGATTGTTCTAGCAGAAAGTTAGGTTTGAAAAATAGGAATTAAAAATGGGATATATGTGGGAGACCAGGAGAGGTTTGATTACGAGCAGTGGAAAAAAGAAATAGAGATATGTGAAGAGATCTGCGGGACCCCCGAGGACAACACCTTCTCTACATTCAGATGATGGATGGGACTGTTGAGACTCTGCAATTGTGTTTATGTTCAATGTTCATTGTATTTTTACCCTTTATTGTACCCTATTCCCCGCTTTTTATAAAAAATCCTCAGTGTTCTGTACCCCGGTTTGTGCCCCTCTCCCTGATTGGCTCACAGGTGTCTCATTGCAGTAACTCATTATTTAGTAATCCCTTATTTGGTTAATAACTCCTTTTTTTCTCCTAATATGGTCTACATTAACATTCTCCTCCCTAACTCCTCCCTAACTCCACCCATGTTTCCAGTATCTTCCTTCCCTACCCTTTATAAGTCAGCTCCTCCCTTCAATAAAGGTCCATTTCATCCTCTATCTCCAAAGTGGAAGAATCCTTATTCCCCCAGGCTGCATCAGATATGCATTCAAAATACTGTTGCATGAGTTATGTCACTTGCTATTTTTCATTGGTTTTTCATCCTTGTTAGGAGTCAAGTTCTAAATTGAATAGTCAGCTGTGAATACAGGTATCTTCTGGAATCTGCCTATTGTAAAATCAGGTAGCACTGTTGAAATTTTACTTTCGGAGCAGTATGGATTTAAAAATAACTTCTAATTTATATTATAACTAGCTAGTGTCATTTTGACTCTGAAAGGATACTACAGGCTGCAGAATGCAGCAGATGACTTTTATAGCATATGGTTACCTTTTCATAAATTATTTACATGGAACTTCTGTTCATCCTACATCTGAAAATAATTAAAGAATCTAATGAATAGTCATGAGATGAAAGAGAGTGGATTTCTTTTGTTCATTTTAATATTTTCTTTTTTTTTTCCTTTATCTGGGAGAACTATATGAGAATATGACTGTTATCTGTTAAACATGCATATGAACATTCAAGTTTAGAACCATGAGAACTAATAAAGTTGTAAAAAATTTAAAGGGAGATTTAAGAAACTGAAATCAAGGGAAGCTGTGAGATGTTACTCGCACATTTTTAGTGGTGTCTACTTATTTTTCAATTCCTGCTAGAAACAAAAGGAGAAGGTGGAAGGAGAGGAGAAGTTAAAGAGTGTGGTAAGTCAACCTCAATTACTCGGTGAGGAAAAAGAGACTATTAAAGGGAGGGAATAAGTCACAAAAGGTTGAAGTCAAAATTTTGAGGAAAAGACATTTGAAAGAAACAATATTCTCACATTTAAGCTTTAATAAAATAATTTCATTACTAAATTAATTTTGTTTCCGCTTAAGATGGCAGTATTTCTTTAAAGTCACTGCTTGTGAGAAAATACTTCAATTTTTTATCAGTTTGTATTCATTTTTACTTTTTTTTTCATGTGGTATATTAGAAGTGGACTATGGCACAGTGAAAGCTTCTGATAAAGAGTGCAATGAAGAAAGCACAGAATATAGTATTTCTTTTTATCCTGATCCTTTCAGTGATGGAAATCAAATGCATACTCCTTTGTTGTAGTCATAAACGGACAACTTAATATTGTGGTGCAGAGATTTGAGTATTTTCATGAAGCACTTCAGCAGCCAGTGTGTTTTTGCATTTGTATATTTTTAGAATTGTTAGCATTGAAGGATATGTCATCCTTCTATTTCTGCTAGATGTTTTCACTCTAGTTTGAGTTAACTTGTTTTGAAGTAAAACCTGCTCTTATCTGCAATTTATGAACCCATATAGAGGTAGGTATGCAATACTGATTTAGTAGTGCAGTCTGATCAGATTTCGAAATGCAGAGATAGGAGTTAGTTTTTCCCTGCCTTGACCCCCAAAATATAAAAGTTTGGAGAATACATAATACAGTAATAGCAAATACAACTGTTGTTTCATAGTTCTTTCCACATGCTTTTAATTTAGCAGATGAAAAAAATCTTTCACTGAAGAGTGGAGTTTCAGTGATTATGTCTGCAACATCAAACAGTACACAAGTTCTCGTAATTTTATGCTAACTCACATTGGTTTTGGAATCAGACTCCTAGTGTTAAGGAGTTGTTTTTGTTGCCACTTTCACTTTCTCCATACTGTCTAAATTCACAATGGATGGAAATGAGGTTTTAATTTAAAAGCTTCTGTTTTATATCTGTTCACATAAAATATGGACAGATGATTTTAACATCCTATTGCCATGAAAAGACTGAGATGTTCTGAACTAAGACAAAAAAGGGTTAATTTCTTCTTTCAGTTCTGACCTGTCATTTTCATAGCAGATTTCCTCAGTTTGACTTAGTATGTTATTTTGCTTCCTCTTCAGGTTGATATGAAGGTATTTTAAAAAGTAGTATTTTCTAGTAAACAATATAACATTATTATGGAAGAAAAAAAATTGTATTGTGCTGTAGTTAAGTGATGAAAAATGAATTCTGGAATGACAGTCCTCTTAAACATCAAAAGGTCTGTTACACCAGGTCACAGTGTTTCTTTCTTTGTATGTACTGTTGCCTGGAGCACTCAGAGCTCCAGCAGTATAGAGGGAATACTCTTTGATTCTTCCCAGCTAAACAAAAGAGTAAAATCAGATTCTTTTGGTTTTCGTTAGAGAAAATTTACATCTAGAATACAGTTTTCTTTCTTGGAAGTTTGTCTATGGAAAAACCTTTGGAAGTGTACTTTAGCTGTTTTAGTTATCACAGAATGATAGAATCAGCTGGGTTGGAAAACACCTCCAAGATCATCAAGTCCAGCCCTTGATCCAACAGTGCTGTGGTTCTTGAGCATGAAGGTGTCAAACATTGCTTTTGTCCTGTTGTATTCAAACAAGTACAACTGATTCAACACAAAATGTAAGCTGAGTTTGTTCTTATGTAGCATCAGCCTGTCTTTATGGTATCTAGACAAATACCAGTAGATACTGTGGGAATAGACAAATTCCTGATGAGTGTTTCACCTGGTGAAATCTGTTAAAATAGCCTCGTGTAGGAGGTTGCCCTATATGTTGATCAGGTATGTTTTTCTTCCCTGCTGTTTCACTTGCCTGTCAGAACAGGGTACCTGTCTTTTAGGAACACTGCTTGTGTTCTCTTCTTAAGAAATCAGTCTTTACTCTCTTTCTTCTATTAGGCAAGGTAATTTGTAGGTTGAGGAAGCAAAGTACAAAAACAGCTGCACAGGCAAGGGCAGACGATAACTTACTTGTCTGTATCTAGGAAATTCTTTTTAATGACCCTTATGTCTGCCCAGTCATGGCTCCCAAGTAATACTTCTGGGTTTTTTCCCTTCTTTGTAAGAATGTGAAATGAGCAGATAGGAGAGTAAAAGTTCAGTTCATTTAGAGGAAAAGAGCACGCAAAGTGGTAACCCAAGAAAAATGCTTTGAAACATAACAGGATTTTTTTCTGTGCAAGTGTAACTTACCGAGATAATGTTTCACTACTGCTGCAGTAGATGACTTTGTAGACTACTCAGGTGAGTTTGCTGCTTAGTAATTGATGTGGTGTATTTGCCTCTTGATTAATTTAAAGTGTTAAGGGGATCAATTGTGGAGATAAGTAATTAGCGTGCAAGTGTGACTCAGGATAATCTGTCTGATTATCCTGAAAAGTATGCAGTGTAAGTACCTTATTTCAGTTGAAAATTTAATCTCAGCAATACAGAACAAACATTTGAAATAGCTAGCAGCACTTTTGTACCTTCATGTCTCCATTCATCCTCTACATTGCTGGAAAATATCCCATTCTAGACAGAACCTAAATATCATTGATTTCGTGTCACAAATATACTTATGCTTACCAGTTTCCACAGAGTATATAATGAAACTAAATCGTAACATGATGTAGCTCTGTACTCAGAAATTAGATCCTTGAAGAGCTGGAGCTTTTTTGAGTGTGTGTATTTGTGAATTTTTAGGTCAGAGCCAACAGTCTCTTTCAGATAGGTGGAATTTTTGAGGGTGTTCTTCAGATACAGACTTTGTCTTGATAAATGTTAAACAAGTAGTAATGAGCTGGCAGGAAAACTCAAAGGAGCTGCTTACTGAAATTATGTGAGGACCTGGGGAGTGGGAAGGCAACACACAAAATAACTGATGCTTTCCATAGTAATGTGGATTCATACCTTTTTAAAAATTCAACTAAATCATCTCTCAGCATCAGTTCATTCCTGCAACTGTAATAATATATCCAAAGTGCAAATGTTTTGCATTTGGAATGGTGAAAGTATGACTTCAAATGTATTGTTTTGTGTGTTTTTACCTGGCAAATTTTCATTTCTTTTCATGTCTTACATACCTGTGAACCAGATGTAACCTTTGAACGCCAAAACCCCTTACATATGTTATCAACAATATTGTAGATTAATCTAGAGGTGTATCACCTTGTGGATAATTTCTTATGTTTCTGAACACATTCATTTTAGCCTATGTATTAAAGGCAGAGCAGTTACGTTTTCGTCCTGACATGAAATTTGCATCAATTTTGTACTACAGTTACAGTGTCACTGCTTAGGAAAATGTTAGATTAATGCCCTTTTGATTTCTTTAAGAAGAGGCAGGACAAAACAGTATGTGGAATTAAAACAGACTCCTGGAGAAAAATGCAGTGTTCTAATACGCCTTTAAGAGTGAGGGTGTTTTAGTAGAAATGTCATAAGAATAGAATGCAAGTATTTATCACAGGAACTTGAAATTCTTTTTTTATGGCAGTGAGATTTTATTATATGTGAGTACACTGAACTGTTGTATGCACTGAGCAATGTTGTATTATTTTCCTTGAGCTGCAAATTCAGCTAGACTTAATTCTCTCTTTACGACTATTTTGTTTCATAATCTTTTTGGAAGCTTCACTTAAAAGTAATTTCTAATTACTATCAAAATTCTGGAGAATTTTGAAGTCAGCTCTCTGACTTGATTTTTGGTGTGCTAGAAGTTCAAGTTAAACAATATTCTATTGTGTTCTAAGTACCTAAGCACAGATAAAACTTCTGCCAATGAGCTTTACTGAGTAATTTCCATTCAGTTCTGCATTTATTGACTTCTTAGTTCAGCAGCAGCAAGATATTCGGTTCCTCGTTTACCTTAATGTGTCTTACAGTCATTCAGTTTTGCGTATGATTAAAGTACTAATGAAATTAAAACAATACTGTAAAAATTATATATGTCAGATAGTTACATTTCATAGGTCTAAAACATAGGACATGCATGCCCTTTTGCAATTGCTTTTTGTCTATGAACACCTTTTTTTTCTTTTTTTTTAAATTTAAATAGAGACTCACAGGACAGCACGAGGAGATAAACAACTTAATGCAGAGAAAAAATGCTGTGGAGGAGGAAAATGCCTGTCTGAAGAATGAATTCAGTACCTTGAACCAGAAATTTAAAGATAAAAGCCAAGAACTTAAGGTATATTGACTTGTACATCGTTTCTTAAGACTGTAGCTTTGAAGCAGTTCTTTAAGCAATGTCAGCCTTTGTGGCACAGAAAGTGACAAGCTTGGAGAAAAAATTGCCTTAGGCCTTGCTATACCTTACCATTTTCTCACATACCAACTCTGAGGAAGATGCTTTAAAGCCAAGAATCCAAGCTTTATAACTTTCAGATAAATAGTTAATGATAGAAATGGAGCAAAGAAAGTGGGAGTGTGAAGATGTGGCTTCTTGTAATTAGATTCTGATGGGACTGGCATTATTAATTGATAAAGCCGAGGTCTGGGAGGATATGTCTGTGTGGGTCTCAAAAATAGCTGGGGACAGCATCAAAGGCAGCTTGATCAATTAATGGGCTCTTTGCAAATGTGTACTCATCAAAGCTGTCATCCAGCTAAAAAATATGACCCTTCCACCTGCATGAAGGAGGCCAATAAAAGTACACAGGTGACCTTGGCCATCAAATATAGAAGAAGCTGCTGTGAGGGTAAAACTGCACAGTTTATATTTGCTGATTAGTTCTCACTTTTTTGTTTATCGGCCCTTGTGGTACTGTTCTACAGGACACTGAGGAGTGTGCACAGAAGAAGGAAGAGCAAAACAGACTGGTTATAAAAAACCTGGAGGAGGAAAATAAGGGATTAAATACATGCTGTGCTGACCTACTAAGTGACCTGGAGAAACTGAGGAAGCAGCAGGCACAATGGAAAATGGAAAAATCTGGCAGTGATGCCATAATAAAGGTACGAATTGGAATGGACTCCTAGATGTTATTTCAGAATTAACTTCTCCAGACATTTCACTACAAGTTATTTTCTTTAAATAGCAAGTTATATATTCAAATTTATCAGTGGGGACTTGCATTCATTTACATTCCTTCACTTAAGACCCACAGCTTTTTAAAAATTGATGTTGCAAAGCAGAAATCTGACTTCAAATAGTAATCTTAAAATGTAAGCATTAAAAAATAAAAGATACTGTACTTTAAGATAATAGAAATATATGTGAAATAATAAAAGCTTAAAACTGTTATCACAAATTTTTTCTTGATGTGTAATTTACTTACCTATAATTTTGTTGCAGTATTCTTCATAATTGTTGTTTTGCAACAACACTTTAAATTTTAAGTGTAATTTCAAATAAATTGCATCCTAGCCTCCAAAGGTCTCCATTCTGTGAGAGAACTTATTATCGCTTATATTAAAAAGTTATTTTCACTGTTTATAAGAAAACAAAAAAGAATATAATTGAATACATGGTACAGAATATTTTCTCTTTTATTTAAATGACACTTTTTCTTGTTTGCTGGTGAAAATTGGCTAGCATTTTTTAAAATTGCTTATAAGAAATAAACCACAAACATAGTATCTTAGTGTTTGACAGCTACTTATATACATATCTAGGTATTGGATTCTTATTTTTTACATGACTAATTGTACACTTACAATGTTGTGTTCTTTTACATTATTGAAGTACATTCATTGTAGTAACTATCTAATTAATACCTCACCCAGAAACATCCTTTTTTTTGCACTAGCAATTCAGTTGTTTTGGTGATGCCTCCAGTTGTTGTGCTGATGGAAACCGTTTGTAAAGAGTTTCATTCAGATCTGTTAACATGTGAAGTAAAGTTCCTGCAAACTGGCTCCTTTGGAGGGTTATCATGAAAGGATTATGGGATTCCCAGGGCAAGAAATGGTTTGTTGATACTTGGGACAGAAAAATCTAGTGTGTGCTAAACTGATGTAATAATTTTCAAGTTGTCAAATGTGGTGCTTGTAATATTGGATAAATTATTGGAAATCTGTTACGCATACCTTCAGTGAACACAGAATAATTTTTATGTCTCTCTCCTCCTGGCTGATGAGGCACACTTATGAGAGAAAGGTGTGTCAGAGCCAGGTGATTGCAGGGATGGGAATTAGTAGTGTTGGTGTTTCAGAGTGGCATTACAAGCAGGTCAAGGTGTTGTTTAGACTATGACAGAGGTTACTTCTGGGTATGGGTGTTGCCTGAGCCAACCAGGGATGTCACACAGCTGGATTTGCTGTTTACAAACAAGGAAGAACTGATTAAGAAAATAATAATGACAGGCCGGGCTACAGTTACCATGAAGTTGTCAAGACCAAGACCCTGAGACAATGAAGGAAGGAGAATAGCATAGTGCAGACCTGGAGATGAGAAGCAGTCTTCAGCTTGTTCAGAGAACCAGTAAGTGAAATCCCATGAGAAGCAGCACTGAAGGATAAAGAACTCAGGAAAAAGTGTCAAGTCTTCAAAGACATCTTTCTTCAATCCCACATATGATCCACTCTGATGCTCAGAAAAACAAGTGGATATATCAGGAGACCGGTGTGGTTAAACAGAATTAATCACCAGATGCCAGGGTGGGTGTGGAAAACAGTGTTCAGGAAGTAGAAACAGTGAAAACTATAGAGGAGGAGTTCAGAAGCATTGTCTGAGCACCTGAGGGTGGTGGTAACCAACCTGCAGTTGACTTACAAGTAATGACTGTTATGAGTTTCTTGCACTACTTTATCAGTAAAAAGCAGAACAAGTAAAATGGGGACCCGTTGCTGAAGCAGAATGATGAATTAGTGACAGAAGGTAATAGATATGGCACAGGTACTAAATATCATCTTTGCCTCAGTCTTCTCCAAGATGTCCCTAAAAGTTTGTGCCTCGAGACAGGCTTCAGGGAGAAGTACTGAGAGTGGATGTGTTGGGAGATACCTGAGAGAACTTGACTAATACAAATCTGTTGGACCACCTGAAAGGAACTGCATCCAAGGGTGCTGGGAGATTTGGCTGATGGCACTCTCAGGCAGCTGCCTATTGTCCTTCAAAAGTAGCAGAAAACTTTTATTGGGGGAACTCCATGATAAAAAGGATAATCCAAGAAGAAAGGTTGGTTAGTCTCGCTTCAGTCCCTGGGAAAATCACAAAGAAGGCCATCTTGGAAGTAGTTTCTAGGCACTAATGGAGAACATGACCAGAAACAATAATGGATTTACCAAGGATGAATTGTTCCTGAGCAACCTGATTGTCTTATATGATAAAATGATTGTGTCTGTGGACAAGAGGAGAGCTTGGCTGTGATTGACCTTAACTTTAGCTAATATTTGACACTGTCTTGCTGTATGCTTTTATCGAAGTTAGGATGTTATAGCTAGATAGGTGGACAGCAATATGTTTAAAGAAACTATTTGGATGTTTGGATTGAGAGAGCTGTAGTTAATGGGTTGTAATAGTCTGTAGTCTGGTGGTAAGTGATGTACTCTAAGATCCATCCTGGACCTTTCTTGCTTAAAATCTTTATCGGTGACCTGGAAGAGGGAACAGTGGGTGTGATCATCAAATTTGCAGATGACACCAAACTGGGGAGAAGTGGATGTGCTTGAAGGCGCTGTTGCCATCTGGGGGGGGCCTTGACAGAACTGGGACAATGGGAACCTTAGGCAGGACAAATGATGAGTCTTCCCCTGTGAAGGCAGAGCCCTGCAGGCAAACAGGGAACACCTCTGGGCAGTGGCAGGTAGCACGCTGCATCGGGGCCAGGAATGAGAGGTATGAGTGGGGCATGACCCCAAGAACTCTGCTCAGTACTCTGGATACCACACCTCTTTTTGGGTACTGTTTTTGGTATATGTGCAGTACTGAAAGACATCAGTAAACTGGCTGAAGGTGGGACAGTGGATCTGGAGACTTTACCTTGCAAGGAGAGGTGGTGGGATAGGCTGACTCAGCCAGGAGAAGGAATGGCTCTGGGGCTGGGGCCACCCAGCAGCATCTCCAGCATGAACAGAAGGGGTTGGAGGAGATGCCTTCATTCTTTACGTCTTTGTGTGTTGGAGTGGTGAAAGGCAACACAAGCTGAAAGAGGAAAACTTGAGGCTAGAGTAAGCCTTTTTCCCAGGAGGACAGCCCAGGAGTGGGGCGAGGTCCCGTGGAGGTTGGACCATCTCCATCCTTAGATTTCAACCCTTGACTTTATAAAGCACTGAGCAGCCTGGTTGCCCCCTGCCAGGTGAACCTGCTTTAGGCAGGGACTGTGACTTGAGACTTCCTGCAGTCTCTGCCAGCCTGCACGTGTCCATAGGTCTGATGCCCCAAGCTTATGCTTCTACCCCCTCCCTTTTTTTTTTCCTTATAGGGATGTTAGGCAAGTGATTATACACCTTTGCTAGCGGACAGTTAGATGAAGTCATCTAACAAGACTACTGCAAGTATTGAGAAGCAGACTGAAATTACTGTTGTGCTGGTTTAGGAGTTAACCAGCAGGGGTAATGAACCCAACTCAAAGGAGAGATTATAAAGTCAGAATAACAATTTATTAAAATAATACAGTAAGTACAATCATACAAACAAACAATTGGTCTTAACCCACAAAACCCAAATGTATAACCCAGTACCCTGGGGCATGAACAAAGTGGTGTTCCTTGGGCCCCGCTTAAGTCCAAAGTAAAGGGAGAGGGGAAAAACCTGCTGGTGGGAGAGCTGTTGCAGTCTGGTCAGAAGCGGTGATTGCAGTCCAGCTGAGGTTGAGAGCGATGAGCTGCAGTCTTCCTCTGGATCCCACGAGTGATTGAAAAGTTCTGAAACTCCAGGTTTATGTATTCTCCAGTTCAGGCAGGAATGGTCAGTACTTCCCTCAGGGAGTTCCATAAAAGGTAAGAGCATCCTCCTATCTCACAGGCCTCTTAACATCTAGTTTATAGCCTGAGGAGTCAGGCTCTTATGGGCAGAGGGTGCGAATAGTCTATTGACAACAGTTTCTGGGAAATGGCATGGAAGGCTATAGAATACACAGTTTTGGGTTACACCCATACCATGATGAACTGCTCTCAGCTGTGCTAACTAGGACAACTGTCTACAAGAGGGAAATGTTATATTTGACCTCTAGGAAGTAGCAATATGTTGTCTCATCATTTTAATCAATATTTTGTACTATAATAATTTGTAAGAACACACAAAGTTATTTTTATAATTCATCACTGGTTTTACATATACTCTTCCTGTAAATATTTTCTTGAAAATTTAAGTTTCAGTTTGAATTAGTTTCTCCCTCTGTTCTTGACATTCCTCATTTCTATTACATATTGGGTGCTGTTAAGATTGGATCTTAACAGGATGCTTATAAACAAAAAATATAATAATTTTCATATCTACAGAGGTCAAATATGGCATTATCACACTACACAATATTAAGTTCCAGTTGATGTTCTTATATATACACCTCAACATAACATGTCCCTATTGGTGTTGTCAAGTGGTTATAGATAAAAATCATTTGAATTAAGAAGTGAAAGCTCCTCTAAAAGTCAGTTCTGCCTCTCAGCCTTGAGTTCTGGATTTGAATCAGCATCTTTTTTTACATATTTTTTAGCAGTAAACACTCTATTTAACAGTGTTATAGATGATGTTTTATACAGGCACTATCCATGTTAGTCTCCTCTGTCTGAAAGAATAAAATGAATCCTTATCAATATTAGCTACCCCAACATTGTCTTTAAAATGTGTATTAGATGACAGAAAGGCTAGGTCTAAATAAGAGACTGCCCCTTTGGAAAAGTGACCCCCCGTTCAGAGAGTGAACTAAGTGTTACTAGCCCATTTTTTTTCGGTCCTTAAACCATTTTCTGTGCAGAGAAGTACCACTTCTCACTTTCAAAGACTGGTTGTTTTTCAGACCCATTATAATCTGAATTCAGGTATAAAATTCAACTTCTTAAAAATTGAGAGAAAGAAAAAGCTATGGCTAGTTTGTCCTTTTAAGGAGCGTTTCTTTAAACGTTTGTCATATTAGCCAAAATCAGAGTGAGGTTAACAGGAAGACGCCTGATAAGGTGGTTAAAATGATGACAATAGTGTTTTATTGTTTGTCTTTTCTATATGTACCTTCATACAAATAAGATTCAGTGTACAGAAGGTTAATGTAGGGCTTTTCTTTCTGCCTTAAAGTAGCTCTTGAGAACTTTTTGAGCTGCTTTTATGCTTCCCAGGGCTTATATCAGCCTTCTATATCTCCCAAAAGTGCAGAACTGGAGAAGCTGTCAATCAGCCAGCTTATGCATGTATGTGTCTCCCTATCTAAGAATCAGTTAGGCTTTTGAGTTATTTTGTTCTTTGGGTGAAGGTTACCTAAGCTGCTGTTTAATATTAAGAAAAATGTATTTTTTACCAAACTCAAGTCACAAAAAAGCTTTGTATGTAAATAGAAGAAGTCAGACTGTCAGATTTTAAGTGGAGGGGACTAAAAGATAGTGGAATTGCTTACTGGTTGGTATTTGATTGTTTTTAATTTCTAGTTAGCACAGTTCTTTTTAAAGTTTCTAAAGTCTGAAGGTGGGAACTTTGAAAGAAACAGCCATCTCTGTCAAGAGGAGCCTGGGATTTTTATTCCAGGAGAGTTTTATTGAAATGGGAGCTTGAAAAATTACTCTCTTCTGTCATAATATATTATGGGGAAAAAAAACCATGAAAACAAAGCTACTGTCTTTGAAAGTGACTTTCGAAGGGTTTGAAGCTACAGGTAAAAAACCTTAGTGTTAATTCTTAGTGAGTCTCTAATGTGCATAACTGTGCTGCCTCATGCCTTGTTTTTGTTATGCTTTTCATGTTTGAAGTTCTTTTGAATTCACCTTTTCTTGTACTGTGTCTCGTACTGTGTCTTCTATAAATAGGCTTTTTCTTTCTCATATAACTGAATTATTTGATGTTTTGACCTATTATATTTTAAATAGCACTTTTTAAATAAGCTTTAAAAGATGGAATTCTAAACAGTCTGTATGTGCTATTGAAATGGACTTCAATTTGAAAACCCAGATTATGAGAATTTGTATTAGGTAAATTTTCAGTCTGCATGTTTAGGTAATGAACCTTTTTGGCTACTGTATCAACAAAAAGGCAATGTAGTCAATTCCATGTGATGTTAAAAATGAAGATACTCAAAAATTGAGTGTAAAACATTATAGGTTATGTCATGATTGAAAATATGACGTTGACGAAAAACTCAGCCTGCCCTGGCAATGTGCGCTCACAGCCCAGAAAGTCAATCATATCCTAGGCTGCATCAAAAGCAGCGAGGCCAGCAGGTTGAGGGAGGTGATTCTGCCCCTCTACTCTGCTATGGTAAGACCCCACCTGGAGTGCTGCATCCAGCTCTGGGGTCCCCAGCATAAGAAGAACATGGAACTGTTGGAGCAAGTCCAGAGAAGGGCTACAACGTCAATAAGGGGACTGGAGCACCTCCTCTGTGTAGACAGGGTGGGAAAGTTGGGCTGTTCAACCTGGAGAAGATTGGATGGAGACCTCACAGCAACCTTCCAGTATCTGAAAGGGGCCTCCAGGGAAGCCGGAGAGGGACTCTTCATCAGGAACTGTAGTGATAGGACAAGGGGTAATGGGTGCAAACTGAAAGAGGGGAAAGTTAGGTTAGGTATTAGGAAGAAATTCTTTACTTTGAGGGTGGTGAGACACTGGAACAGGAAGTTGCCCAGGGAGGTTGTGGCTGCCCCATGTGTGGCAGTGTTCAGAGCCAGGCTGGACAGGGCTTTGAGCAACCTGGTCTAGTGAAAGGTGTCCCTTGGTCATGTCAGGGGTGATTGGGATTAGGTGAATTTTTAACCCTTCCAACCCAAACAGTTCTATGATTCAGTCTTAGATTTCTGATTTCAGTATTCAGCACAGCTTTTGTATGTCAATATATGATATTTCAGTACCTAAGCTATTTGTATAACCGGTTGTTCCCTATCCCTGTTTTCATGTTTTGGTTTTTCAGTAATGCTTCCAGAAAACTCAAGGTTTCAAAATACATTCAAAAGGTTGAATTGGTTTGTTACTTAGTTGAAAGCAAAATCTGAAGTTATATATGTCACAAATGAGGTGAAGTACTGAAAGATACTTTTTTTTATTTTTTGCATTCTGCCATTAGATGACTTCTTAAGTTGTATTTATGGCCAGATCGTTTCTTACTTATTCTTTTTGTTGTACTCTGCAATGGATGATGGGTACACGTCAAAAATTTCATGTGTTGATAGTGAACTATCTCCTGTAATTCTGAAGTCTTCCATTATTCAAGGAAAAATTAAGTCCTTCTACTAGCCTTTGAGATTGAATGATGGCTCATTAGTTGGATACATCAGATATATAGCTTGAGAGTTATCAAGAAACAAACAGTTTTCCTATGTCATTCACTTGTGAATTTTGCTGTTTCCTCACATCCATTGTTACTATTGCTAGCAGGACGTAATTCTTGTCCAAGTTCAAAGAATTCTATTGTAGTACATTCTGATACTTCTAAATATGTATAAGCCATTTTTTATGTTTAAAGAGAAACAATTAATTATTTACATTTCAGTTAAAAAAACATTTTGATAACTTCAATATGTGAAGCATCATTGCTGAAAGGGAAAAATGTGCATTTTTTATCTCTTTAACTAAGTCTATATGTAAATGGAAAACTAATATACGCTTAGCAGTAGATTAGGGATGCTATTCTACTATGGGTTTTTTATTTTAAATTATTGATGAATCCTGGAATATTTGCCTTACTGAGAACAAGTGATTTCATCTGTGAGTGGTGTAATACCAAAGCAGGTCTAAGGCTGTTGCCACCTTCTCAAACTCTGTTCTAGATATTGCTGTAATATTTATATTTCCATTCTTACCTCAAAACACTCTGTGGAGAATAGTCATACGAAGCTTCTTAAGGATTGATATACTCTTCTGAGGGAACTCTAGCAAGGTTTATGTAGAGATTGAGGTCTTGCTTGAGTAAGTTGCCTTGCTGCTTTATTTCTCGTATACACTTTCACAGTTTGCTAACTAACTTATGCAGTAAGGCTTATGATAAAAGGCAAACTCTTGCTTACTTGCATTGTTTTCAGAGCACTTCCAGAAATTTTCTTGCATGGTATTTCTTTTCCTGAAGAAACTGTTCCTTGCACTGAATTAGCAGTGCAAAACCAGAGCAAGATTTAAGCAGTCTCAAAAATGAATCTATATCTATGTTTCTTAGTTGATCTACACATCATTGTGAATTTTTTGGAGAGCTTAAAACAGTAAAGCTGCTGGTTTTTTTTTTTTAAGGAATTTCTACTTAAAAAACAAAGTTTTATCAATTCAGTAGTTAAATTGGGTACTATTATTTTGCAAAGATTTGATTCAGGATTCTCCTTCCACATCCAGCAATAGAGTTAAGGAAAACTTGTTAAAGAACAGATGGCCAACTAAAATTTGAAATACACCTTTTTTTCTGGTATTTCACATTTTTCATACATGCACGTATACACATATTTATGTATTTGCTTAGACCGCAGTAAATGTATTCAGGTACGTGCACGCCATATATCTATATCCATAGATGACATGCATAGTAGATTTTAACTGTTTCTTATACGTTATCTTCAATGCATTTAAAATGCTTTCTTTGCAGAATTTGAAAACTGATTTAGCAGAGGCAAGAGAACAAATAAAAGAGTTACGCAGTATATGCGGTAACTTGTCATCTCTGGTAGCTGTGAAACAGGAACAACTCTTCCGAAAGAATTGTGATGTGATCAAAGCTAAGTAAGTATTTCATAATTTCATTACCTTCAAGTCTGAATCTTCTCGAAAAGGCTACTGTTCCACTTACAAAGCAGTATTTTGCATTAGAAGTATTTTTGTGCAACAGTGTACTTTAATATCATTCTGTTCCACAGGATGTAAGGCTTTTGAAAGACTACCAGTTTATGTAGACTAACTCTGATATATTTTGACACTTGGTCTATTTTACCAGTTTTTGAGTAGGTATAGACTTGTACACTTCTGTAATTGGCGTTGGGTCAGAGAACTACCAATCTCTACTGAAAGTAACAAACTAACAATATGATTGGTGGCATAAATATTAATTAATGAGGCTAAATGCCCTGAACTTGGAAAAGCTTTAAACCTAAGTTTGACTTTCTAATGAGGGTCAAATCTGACAAGTCAGCAAAAATCTACATAGGCCTGTGCTAAATGTTTAAAGCGCAGTGACTTAAGCTTTATTTTAAGTCTCACACACTATTTCTTTACACTGAACCTGTAAGATCAGTGCTGCATTATTTGAGTCTTGGAAAAGAAATGAAGGACAGAATGAATTATATGAATTGACTAGACTACTGAATTCCTCAGAATGAAGGTAATGGCAGAAGACAATCAGTTACTTTAGGTGGATTGTCAGGAAATTGTCCATTTTTCACTTCTTAGTTTCAGAAGCATACACAGTACTTTGCTTCTATGTTAGACAAATAATATTCCCTTCAATATTCCTTAAAACTGTGGTTATACCTGAAGAGCTGCAGTTGGGATGTAGAAATCATTGGTATGGATACTTCTCTTTGCTTTCCAGGCAGAAATAATCTTTCTATAGGGAGTCAGTATCTAAGTGTTTTTGGAAAAAAAGCCCCAAGAAATATTTTTGATGCATCTGACCTTAATTGTTACCCTAGTATTTGTTGAAATCTCTGCAAGAAAAATGATATATTATTATTTTCATGTTTAAAAGGAATAAATACCAGTTGAGTTTCAAAAAGTCAATAAAAATAGGCAAGTTTATTGGGAAATTGTACTGATAGAGGCAGTCAATGGAATTTGTGAAATTCAGCAATGGACTAATAGAAATTATTCTCAGTATTATATATATGTGTGAGAGGACTAGGGACAGCGAAGAAGGCATTTTAAGGTTGGATAGTTAAGGTAAGAAAATTTACTACTTGATGGTTTCGATTTACAATAGTCTGAATCGGCCAAATCATTGAACTTCAAATTTCTCAAAATGTTGTATTCTTTGCTATTCACTGGAGCTGAAAAAGACCTTATTTGCAAATGTCTCTATTCTCCGCACTGCTCTGTCTCCTTGTGTCCTGGTTTTAGATAGGGTGTAGTTAATTTCTTCTCAGTAGCTGTTATAGAGCTGTGTTTTGGACAGTGCTTATTGGATTGAGAATGGTGTTGATAACAAACTGATGTGGGTTTTTTGTGCTAAGCTGTGTTTATCCTAAGTCAAGGATTTATTTTTTTTCTTTGTCCCATGCCCTGCCAGTGGGAGGGAACACAGCTGGGACAGGTGGCCGGAACTGACCAAAGGGATATTCCACACCATAGAATGTCATGCCCAGTATATAAACCAGGGGGGAGTTACCTGGAAGGGGGACTGACCTGGGTTCAGAAAGGGAGGCCTGACATCAGTCAGTGGGTGGTGAACAATTGCATTGTACATCACTTTTTCCTTTTTATTATCATTATTGATATTATTTACCACAATTTTTTATTTTATTTTCAATTATGAAACTGTTTTTATCTCAACATGCAAGTTTTACTTAGATTCTCCTCCCCATTCAACCTGGGTCAGGGGGTCGGGTGTTGAGAGAGTGGCTGCAAGGTGCTTGATTTCTACCAGAGCTTAAATCACGACACCCTGTCTGCTGCCTTCCTACCTTCCCCACCTTCTTCCTTTTTTAAAACAGACCAGGAACACAGTTGTAATTATTAGAAACAAACTCTGGAAGAACAAAGGAAGGAAACAGGCTTCCTTCATTTGTTGTCTTTTTTCATAGGGAGCATAGGCAGATCCAGAAAAATACACCTTGACCTCACTGGGTTTAATTTCAAACTCCTGAATGAGTTGAGAAATTCATTCCCTGGTTATATTTTTCATGTTTGCATTCAGTACAGATTTTCTGGATCTATTTAGAGTCCCTGATAGCCTTTCCATTCTCATGTTTTCAAAGAACATAAAATCTTGCCCATTGTTTCTGAAGATTAATTCCAATGCATCTCTGTGATTTTTGTTTTAAAATTATGCTAATGTAGGATCTAGAACTTTTTGATCTGAGCAGTTGGTGGTCTGAGTCTCACTGACACAGAGCTCTGGTGGAACTCTGAACATCAAACTGGAGAGATTTCCTTGACTCACTGAGACTTTAGCCTTGCTGTCACAGGTATCCAGAAAATGTTAAACTGCTTGCAAATATAGTAAACTCTATTCTAAAATGAATTAGAATTTCTTGCCCCTGTATTTTTAGTGGAAGTGTGGGCCATGACTTTATTCCTTTGATTAGTGCATAGTCCAAATGTATCCCTGATGATTTTCCAAGTACTTCTTTTGTAGTAATATTGGGTTTTCTTCCCCCTTAGTTCACACTCTTGTCAGATTTGAGTACCAAAACTGTCCCTACCCTTAACAATAGTAATGATTTTAAAATAGTTATTGTCAGGACAAGGTGTCAAATATTTTGAGTCTTTCTGCAGTCCAGTTTCTACTGTCTTTGTGTAGCATTCTTGCCATACTGAAAGCAAAGTCTACTAAGGATATTGGAACAACCATCTTACTTTAGTAGTTGAAATAATTTAGTGATGCTTCTATTTTGACTTAAGAAAGACCTGGCTTTTTTATATCATGCTGATTATTGTTGTGCAAAGAGTACAGTAATTTCTGTAAATTTCTTCATTTCCCATTGTATTCATCTTGAGGTATTATATTGGAGACAGAGAGGTATTTTTTAATTCCTCACTACTACCTAGTGATTTCACCATTAAGTGAATTTAAATGCTCTCAGTGTATCATAGTTTTTTTGTTTATGGGAAGTGTAGGGATGATGGGGAAAAAGTAGACTTAAGGAGTGCTTCAGTTTGGGTCTTAGCTGATAGAATATTGGTTTTTTCAAATACTGTTGCTTGTGGTGACTTTTTTCTTAAATTTGTGTTTGTTTAGAGTTACAGTATATTGAAACGTTTTATCAATATGTGCTTATATTTGTATACGCATATCCTACTTATATCTATGTATATACACTTTCACATATAATTTATATATTTTATGTGTAGATGTATATATTTCTATATCTCTGTTTATGTACTTATAGATGCCTATGTATACTTATCTATGGGTGTGTATATAGGCACTTATATTTTAAATGTAACTCATTACCTTTGTTCCATTCAATTTTCAATTTTTGATTGTTTCTTCTCTACATGCTCACCCAAAAGTACGATTTTTCTGGGGACACGTGCCAGGCGGGTGTCTGTCTTGTAGAGTTGTTTACTAGTTCACTGCTTTGAGTAAGCATGTTAATATACATTTTGATCAGAAATTAATTTTTATCTTGTAACTTTTTTTTTGGATTATCATGGGCTTGATTTTACATACTCTCTTTGAGCAACTTGCTCAAAGCAAAGTAGTAACAATCACACAGAATCACTAAGTGGCTGAGGCTGTGGAGATTGTGTAGTTCTGCTGCCCCAGCAGGTTGTTAAACACTAGATCAGTGATTATTGGGTCAGAACCACTTTGGCGGGAGGGTGGGAGGGCGTGTGTGTGAAGGAGGAAGGGATGGGTCAAAACTCATGGAGGTGAGGTGGCGTCGTATCCCTCATGGCAGGCCCCTGGAACCCACACGAGGAAGCCCCGGTGTAGCTGTCAGTCACAAACAGCCCAGGAAAACTACAACACACCACACCTCCTGCAACCCCTAACCCAGCCACAGATTGGCAGGGACAGTGAGGACACTGCCCCTCAGCCTGGCCTAGAACCCCAGAGTGGATGGTGGGTCAGAGACCCCAGCTGGGGGGGCTGGCCATGGGATCCAGAGCAGAAAAAACCAAAAGCATATGTTTGCCATGTGTCATGGCCCTGCCACTTGGATGTGTGAGAGCTGATCTTCCACAAAGTCTCAGTGGTAGCTTTATGATCTCTCTTTCCCTGTTTCTCCTTCTCTCTTTTTGCTCTCTCTGCTTCTCTTTCTTTGCTCCTTTTTTGATGCTTTGGGTGGCTTGGAGCTGGAGGGAATGGGTTTTGACTTAAGTGTTGAGGATTAGTATGTGGTGGATTGGTATTGTGGTGGAACATTTTGTCTAGCTTGTGTAGTGCCTTTTTTGAACCTTTGCCAGATTCCCTTGTTTTCTCCCCTCAATTAATAAAGAAACCCCTTGGGAACAAGTCTGTGGCTTATTCTCTTGATGCTATCTCAAGGTATTAAAGAACCCTATATCTATATTTAAAAGTAAAACTCCTGGCTGGGCTCATGAGCTTGCAGCTCCCAGAGTTGGAGTGTTACACAGCTGCAGCCCTCTACTCCAGCAGTATCAGCTACAACAGGGCTATCCAGTATTGTTGTGTCCAGTTGAGTTTGAGTATGTCCAAGAATGGATACTCTGCAACATCTCTGGGTAGTCTTTTCCACTGTGTGGCCGTTTTTAAAGGATAAAACCACTTTATTATATTTAGCTGGAATTCCATCTGATTTTTGTTTGTGCTTATTGACTCTTTTCCTTTCATTGTGCATCACTTAGAAAAGTCTGTCTGCATCTTCTTTCTAGACTCCCATCAGGTATTTATACATCTTGATAGTTTACCTCTGAACTTTCCCTTCTCCAGGCTGAGCAGCCCCAGCTTTCCCAGCCCAGCAGATGCTCCAATATTTTCACTGTCTTTATGGTCCTCCACTGGGCTCAGTCCATCATTTCCATGTCTCTCCCTTCCTGGGGAGCCCAGAATCAGACAAGCATCAAGATCTGCCTTAAAACTTTTGAATAGAGGGGAAGGATCACCTTCCTCCCCCTGCTGGCAGCACTGTTCTCCGTGCAGCTCAGGGTGTCACTGGCCTTTGGCACAAGACCACATCACTGGCTGATGGTCAATCAGGTGTCCACCAGAATCCCCAGAGCACTTTCTGACAAGTTGCTTTCCAGCTTGTCAGTCCCCAGACTGTGCTTTTAAATGGGGTTATTGCTCCCCAGGGCTGGTAATTTGTACTTGTCTTTGTTGAACTTCAGGCCATTTGTCCAGCCTGTGAAGGACTCTCTCAATGGCAGTACAAACATCTGTTGAAACAATTAACACCCCCCATTTTTGTGTCATCAGCAAAGTTGCCACTGTGCACTCTGTCCCGTTGTCCAGGTCATTAAGGAAGATGTTAAAAAGTGGTGGCCCCAGTGTTAGCCCCTAGGATGCTCCACAAGTACCTGGCCTCGAACTGGTCTTTGTGCCACTGATCATAACTCTTTAAACCTGGTATAGTTCTACAAGGTTCAAGGGAAACTTACTGTCCACTTACCTACGCTGTACCTCATCAGTCCATCTATTGGCATTTTATAGGAGACAATGTCAAAAGCCTTACTGCAATCAAAGCACACTGCACCCACTGCTCACCCCTTGTCCACTGAGATAGTAATTTCATCGGAGAAGGCTGCCAGGCCAGTTAGGCGTTATTTCCTCTTTGTGAATTCCTTATGACCACTCCCAGTGATTATCTTGTCCTTTATGTGGTTCATCACCTTCCCAGGGACTAAGGTATGGTTGATTGCTGGTAGTTTCCCAGACCCTTCTTCTTGAACATAGTTCTTCCTGAAGAACCTCTATCCATGCATGTCCATGCTTCAGTCATGTGAGTTGTCCCAGCTTGTCTCTATGATCCCAATGACCCCTGCAGATCTTTCATTCCGCCAGAGATTTTCCATGGGGGTGTGCTGTGTGCATTTGAACAGCAACTTCAGATGCGTACGCAGTTGTGTTTATTTCCCAGAAAGACCCTTAAGAGCCTCCCCCATACTATCAACACTCCCTTATTTATGTGCATATGGTGGAGGTAGTCTTCCCTGAGTGTTCTGATGCTCATCACATGGTCTTTTCTGTCCATATTTACCTGTGTCCCTTGCTTGCCAGCCCAGGCCACAGCTTCCTCACTTGTTATTTCATCAACATCGCTGTCCTCTACCATTCCTAGTTTAAAGCTCCCATCATCAAATTGGCCTGTCTGTTGTCAAAGGTGCTTAATTCTGTGTATTTATTTGTATTGCACCATTGGTACTGAAGAATTCCTGGTAGGATGAGCATAATTTCCTTTTTCCTCTATAAAAATGAAATAAAAGAAGGATCCCCCATTGATTTGTAATGTAAAAATAGTGCCTCATTCACTGAAGAGGAAAGCAAGTTAAAGTATGTATCTGAATAAATAAAGTTTGATTTTTAAAATGTGTTGTAAGGGTGGTGACAGTTTCCTTACATTTGGAAATCCTTGGATTTAACATGAGAAAACATGTTAATGTGTTCTGACCGTGCTGCAGCTGTTGTGTGACTGCAAGGTTTAGCTTTCCCCCCATCCTCTCCCCTTAAGGATTTGACTCAAACCCTGATAAAAGTCATCAAAAAAAGATTCCCATTGACCTTAATACACTCTGTGGGCAGATCACTAGAGAACACATAATACTGAGCATTCTCGAGTGACAGACACAGATAACTGCATTGATGTTTGCATACAAATTAAAGAGCAGCAATATAGCAGACTGGTCTTGGCAATAGTTACTGCCAACGTTTCCAGCAGTATCTGAGGATTCAATGTTATCCCATGTTTTTCCCTTCAACAACAAAACGAAGATCTGATTGGAGAACCTGTGTAAAGTTAATATAATCTGTGTTTTAACTGCAGTGAAAAGTTGTGTCATTTCTACTTGAACTGCTTGTTTGGAGACCTGTTGTACAGCTGCCAGAAAGTGCAGATATATTACTGTGTTCTTATTTCTGCTGCTGTGTTTCTGAGCAGAATTAAATTAGTACATATGAAGTACATACTGCAGTTGTACTTTGGTTTTCTTAATGTCTTTAATGTACCTCTGCCCTTGTTAGCTTTGGGGAACCACTTTACATTTCATGAAGAACGGTAGGATTTACTGTTAAGTCCTAGTAAGCATAGTGAGCATGTTAAGTGTCATCCTGTGTTGGTCTGTTAACAGGCTTTTTTAAACAGTTCATTTTAACAAAGTTAAGTTGTCTGACTGTCCTGTTGTGGTCCATGTAATTTAAATTCTTATGTAATTATTCAGATGTATTTTTTTTTGAATTATCATCCTATTAAATAGTGACAAAGGTCTTCAGAAATGTTTTTTGGAAAGTTCCCTTAAAATATTTTCTTTGTCATTCTGCTTTTTCTCTGGAAAACACAATGAAGTTGGTATTTCTGCTTACCTTTTGTATGCTAATAGTTGCCTGGACATCTCAGCCGTATTATAAAATTGCAATGATAACTCCTGTTGTAAATAATTATTCTAGGTGCAAAGATGATGTTTATGTGTTGGAGGTTACAGACACAATTCTTTGAGGAAATAAGGAAGAAAATTAGTTGGAGTGCTAAGTGTATATTTGAGTATCTGTATGTCTGCGAGATATGCTTGTGAATTAAAAAGCAAACTAAGCATAAAATATGTAAATAGGGATTAATAGTTATCTGAACTTTTAATATATGTTACAGAAAATATTTTAAATTTTTAATCATCGTTTATAATAAGTAAGAGTTACTGATCTTCATTCTTAGTTTAGAAAATCCATCAGCAGTACAGTTAAATTATCAAGCAAGCTGATTATAGTAGCTTTATCCTATGGTTATATTACAGTGTGATTCCTATTATTGTCTTCATAGAACTTTTTATTATTTTATGTAATACACATTGCAGTTTTTGCTTATTTTGCTTATGGTTGTTGCAGTATGCTGTACGTGTAGACAAAAAATAATTTATCAGCAAACATACTTCGTGTGTCTAGGGAGCAGGTGCATTTCAGAAAAGAGACTTGCTTCAAACATACTCTGAAAGTTAAGAAAAACTTGTATCTCCTTCTGATAGTTCTAGTTTAAAAAAAGGAAAACTTATTTTACAGTCAATGTGTTCTACATATTTTACATTTTGACACTGCTGAAGAGTTAACTGAATATTGATTAGAAAACAATGCAGTAGTGAAAATCCATTTATTTTAGAACAGTTAATGCATTAGAGGGAAATTGAAAGGCATTCCATTTTGAACCTAAACTGCTTTGTAGATATTTCTCAAAAGCATGTGATATTTTATATGTAACTTCTAGTGTTTGCAAGGAAATTGGCAGAAAAAATAAATGGAAATAGAAAGCTCATTATCTACAGTAAAGTTATTTGAATACAATTTTTTAATGGAGTTTGTTCTTTTTTTGAATTTCTTTTCATTGCTCTTTTTGCACAGGAAGGAGTTACAGGAGTTGCAGAATCTTTGTGGACAAAACACTGAATATACAGCACAGCAGGCTGAGCTGATAAAGCAGGTTCAGGCTCTCAATGCTAATACACAAAAAGTAATGAAAGACCAAGAAGATGCTCACACAGCTGAAATAACATTATATCAAAAAGTACGTTATTCTGCTTTATGATCACAGGGTTCATTTTAATATCCATCTGTACAATATCAGTGGACAGAGTAACCAAAGCACTTTGTAGTGTTGTATCCTTTATATGTCTATATTTTTATTGTTGCAAAATATGGTTGAGTAGCAGAGTTTATTGGCTCAATTACATACCTGTGCATACATTGGATTGATGAGCCTTAAAAATTAAGATTTTGTTGCATCTGAAGAAAAATAGGAATGAGTTGCAAAGTATATAAATTTCTTTATGTAATTTTGTGTTATTTGTGTTTATTTCTTCCTCTGCTGGAGGACAGGAGCTTTTAGTTACTGAATTCTCCAAATTGGTTTTCTTAGTTTGGTGGAAGAAATTCCTTTTACTTGTAAACAATGTATGTGTGTGAATCGCAAATAATTTTAGTGATTTAAGATGCAAAAACCTGCTCTATCAAAATTAAGTGTTGCTATAGTATCTTTTTAAAATATTTACACTTGCAGACCAGTTTCATATTTTTGGTGACTGTCAGGGAAAATGCTGAGCTGGCACACGTGTACTACTCAGAACTTCTTTTAGGTTACCAAGTTATATGGATCTGTTTTTCAGTTTATAAGAAATATGGAAGATACGTTTGCTTCCGTTTTAGAAACATTGAGAAGGAAGAAGACAAGTAATAAGTTGTATATATAATTTTTACACACCTTTTACCATCTTGGAACTACTTTCACAAATTGTGTACTGCCAGTGCTTTTTCCCAAAAAGGTATCTCCCTCTGTCATCTTACTTAGAGTGTGCAGTTTGTGATAAAATTGTGAAACTAGGCCTCAGTCAAGCCAGAATCAGTACTGGGTTTCTAAAGATGTTTTTGATTAGCATTTTATAGCTCATAGTGCCCAGCACATTTTTTGTGTACTTAATGCTGTACTGTGTGCTGCAGTTTGCATTATAAATTTTGTGGAATTATAATTTTTTGTGGAATACCAGCATAAAGAGCTCCTGTATAGATAAAGGAAGAAAAAATCCCCCACCCTACAAAGCTCTACAGTTTACTATTGACTGCAGTGATGACAGACATTAAGTCTCTCATACATTACAGTAGTAACCGAGTCAAGGAACAGGTTGTTCAGAACATTTATGAGGCAACAGGAGTTTACCTATGTGGGGCAGACAAAGTAAATTATAGAATGAAAAAAAGAGAGCATGTAGGTAATATGTAAATATGTTAAAAAAAAAAAGGAAGTAAAAGAAAAAGAAGTAAAAAAAGGAGAAGTGAAGTTCCCAAGGTCAGAGTGGAATAGAATTTATAATGTTTGTGGCAAATTGAGTTGAGAGCTTTGGAAGGGAAAACAGACAATCCTGTTCTGTATTTCTGTTCTGTATCATGACAATCCTGTTCTGTATTTCTGATCAGAACTGTATAAAACACCCAACTGTAATTACTTCAAAGTAATATGCATTTTTCAAATCACAAGATACACAGTTCTACTGAAGTCACAGCAGGCGTTTGGAAAACTCAGTATCTATAGAAGTAATACAAATGTCTATTTTCTCCTTTGAATGAGAAAGGCAAACTATTGCAGACAAATGTTTTTTGTTTGTCTTCCCAGTATTAATAATATGCAGGCTGCAACAGCTAGATAAGGATGTGTCAGCTACTCCATAAACACAGTCACAAAGGAATATTTTCCTACTGCTTCAAATGGCATTGAGCCTATCAGCATGTACATCCTGTGATATATTGTCCCTTACCACAAGATCAGTGACCTCTCTGGTCAGATAGGCAGTATATGTTATAGCTTAGGCAGTGTGGTTGGCTCACATATTGCAAGTTCATTTTAACAGTCTACCATTGAGAAGAACAGATCTTTGTGCTGATGTTAAAGTGTAGTATGAAACAGTGGACTGAAAAAAGAAAAAACTTTTCTAATAAACCAGACAAAGGTCATAAACTTACGCTGGATTATGTGTAAATCCAGTCAAGACCACAAATTCTCTTCCAAGTCTAACTGTAGTGAGCAGCGCGTAAAGATCTGTAATCTCTTTTATCTATTTGCTTTGACTTTACATACTGCTTTTTTTTTCTCTAAGTGCAGATTTTAAGGATACTAAGTGTTCTACGTAACTCCTTTACATTAGAGCTTTTATGGAAACAAATTGGTATCTATTTCATATTGCAGCTGTAGTTCACATTCTCAAGGATAGAGAATATTTTTCTAAAATGTATAGCATCTGTTTTAGTGGTCCCAGATGCTCTGGGGAGTTCATTCCTGTGCTGGATTTAATGAGACTCCATAGATTTGTCCTCACCAACAATTTCAAGGTGGAGAGATTTCAATCAATACTAGGGATAATAAGACAAGAAGAGATTCTGAAGTCCTTAGCCAGCTTATCACAGTTTTCTGAAATTTACAATTTAAGGCCCTTGTTTTTATAATGCAGTACTTTCACTTGATCTGATGTGACCTTTAGGACCTATGTTAATCACACTGATTAAGTCTTTCAATGGAAGGCCCTTTTAGTGGAGCAGAAATATTCCAGTAATTTGTCATTCAATGAGAAATGATAATTCATGTCCTGTAACTCGGCTCTCAAATAGAGAATACTCTGGATAATGGTATAGTGCAAGTCTGTAATGAAGAAAACATTGTTCAATAGTTAGATTTTTGGTGTAATTAGAAAACATAGTAAGAGTTTTCAATTATGAGGTATTGTGGAAGTCTGCATCAAGTGCACCAGTAAGTAGATGAAAAATGTGAAAGTGATAGATATACTTTCAGATGTTAGTTTTGTACCTTTAGTTGCCTTTGCTAGTGTGTCAGTGTGTAGAGATAGTTTGCTTTCCTTCAAGCCTGAAAAATTGTAATCAGGGCATCAAGTTACTGTGTTTACCATATTAAGGTTAAATTTTACCATGTCCAGTATGTTTTGTAACTGCAACAACCTTTAAGCATAGTTAAAAATACATAAATGTGTTAATTTTTATGTAAGCAGCATCAAATTCACAAAATAAAAACTAAACCCATACAAATCTGTAAATGGCAGTAACAATGCAGGTTCTTACGCATATTGGAATGAAAAGTATAAGTTCTTTCACACATGATAAGAGAAAAACTATCTGTCCAGTCAAATATGGTGACATCCACATCAGTAATAAGTAAACCATCATTTTCCTAGTCCACTTTGTATATTAAAGTTTTGAGGAACTCAGATCTTCAACAGATTCACAGACTTTAGTTCAAGCTCAGATACTGTTTTCTATTGTTGGGAAGTGTGTTAATTAGCTTAGTCTTTGTTCTTGTATACCAAACATCAGTACAGTTGGTCACATGCTAGCAAGTAAATTTTGGCATCAGATGTGCCTGTAGGCTAAAGGCGAATAAATCCTGGGTAAACTCTGGTTCTTTTAGGGTGATGTTAAATTGTGGACTCAGAGGCGTTGATTTTCGTGCTTGAAAAGCCCTGTACTGATACTCTTAGTGTGCAGTAGTTCCTGTGTGTAGCGGTGTAGATTGGTATCTGCAGAATATTCAAGTATTTGGGAAAAAAAATTAATAATCTATAAATAAAATAAAACTAAACATCATAAAAGGGCTATGTACCGTTTGTCTGGAGTGTCTCTTCAGCTACAGCCTAGAGCTTTACCAGCAGATTTCTGTCCTTGTTCTTTGCAAGTTCTCATAAACAGCATGGCTTGTAAATGGCTTTCTGCAATGGTGCTATAATAATTTCCATTATAGTTTTAGTATGTCTTAATTTAGACTGACTTTTTTTTTATTTATGTGATTACTATATGGTCAATATTACTGTAGGTTAGGGTTCCTAAAAGACTGGATGTGGCACTGAGTGCTGTGGTTTAGTTGACATGATGAGTTTTGGTCAAAGGTTGAACTTGATGATCTTGAAGATCTATTCCAACCTTAGTGATTCTATGATTTTATTTACTCAGGTCTCTGTAATACACTTTTTTAGGGTGTGAGCATTTAGATAAAACATTTAACGTTGGAGAATATTTGTTCTATACCCAATGCTTATATATGGCTACTGTTATGTTTCATTAGATGGATCTACCTTAGTTCCTCACTGGAGATTTTGAAGGAAGTCTCCTAAATGTCCCCACTCCCTGTACTTTAGTTGATACCACAGAAAAATTCATGAGAGTATTAACTGAATGCCTTTTGGAGTATGGAACTGGAAATTTTGTCCAATGGGCGCTCCTGCAAAAATGTAAACATACCACAAGCAAACGGAAGAGAAGAGTTGTAGTTTGGTTGTTGTAGGAGAGGTGGCCATGTTGTGAGCCACGAGGAAGGGGCTCGGAGCCCCTTGGAGGGCTCTGCCCCCTCTGGCCCCCGGCTGGGGGGGCTACAGAGACTTGGAACAGTGTTAAGCTGGACTAAGTGTCTGTAGCTGAACCTGGAGATGTTTCTCCACTGTGAGCAGCAGCAGCAGCGGCAGAACTGCACTGACCAGAGCAGTGGCAGAGAGCCAGAAAAGATAAGATACGGCAGAGGCATTACAGCCAAGCAGGAGAGACACAGTGTTGTCCGAAGAAAGAGAGCTAGCAGCAGAGAGACAGAGTTTGGGGTAAGAACTGAACCAGACCCCCCAAACTCCCTTGAGACCTCCGGGAAAGGAGGGACATGGACTCCTATTAAGGGGAGGAGTTTTGGAATGCTGCAGCACCGGAGAGAGAGGAGCTAAGAAGCTCAAAGACATGACCGGAGCTGGACTGGGACGGCCAGATGGAATGCAGAGGGGGGTGATCTTGTTTCCCCCTCGCTGTTGCTGCCACGTTGGCAGTTGAGACAGAGCACAGGAGCTCTGCAAAGGGGAATTTGAATCCCCTGAGGAAGGGACTTTCACGAAGATGCCCCTGCATTTCGTGATATACCTGTGGTGAAGCGAGTCTTGTCCCTGCTGGCAGTCCACAGGTGAGGCCTTCGCTTGGACCGAAGGAGAGCCAAGGGGCTTGGAGACCCCCTTGTGTGTATTGAAAAGAGATCCAGCTACAACAACCCAGCTATCAACTGCTGCATGGAAGACAGATGAGGAGAACCTGCTGCCTTAGAAGATACTCCTGCTTTGAGACTAGAAGGGATCTGTCCTTCTTCCCTCCTGGACTTTTATTTGGAGGGGAGAAGAGATCTGATCCATTGTAAATACTTATGTCATGGTAGAGATAGTTGTGATCGTGTGTATAATGTATTGTAGTATTTATTTGTACAGTCATTGTAATATATTCCCTTTCCCCCATTTGGAGTCTGGTGTGTTTTGTCTGGAAAAAAAAACCCATTTCACATTGGATTGAGATGTGATAGGGGGCTAGGACTAGGGAATTAGAATTTTGGAGATCTCAAACCATGACAGTACCTTCACCTGCAATAATCTGTGCTGCCTGTCAGAGAAAGGGCAGCTGTAACGCCTTAGAAAGAGATTCTGAAAGTATAGTCAGTGCAACAGTTTTTGCAGAGCAGTCTTGTGTCACTTGCTAATGCTTTTTTTTTTTAAATACCAAGTGTCATAAAATGTAACAAAGAATTATTTTAAATATTTTCCTTTTTATTTCTATCTTGTAAACATAAATAGTTTTTCATAAGTTTGTTGGGGGATTACCAAGCTCACTGGGTAAATCTCATGTCCTGTTGACATTCAGGTAAGGTATAATCATTCACATAGGTACAGTCAAGATTCCACTCATTTCTTCTGTGAAGCTTGCTAGTTCTGAGATAAATAATTTACAATATTTTTTCTTTCTTTGGCTGTTCTATGCAATGTTCCTTCTCTAATCATCTGATCTTCATTTTACAATGCTTCTCCACACCTGAATTTCTTTATTAATGATAGACCTATTTCATCATGCTGTGCAAGTCTTTGTATTTTAGAATGTGCTCACTCTAATGTGATTAATTGTAGTGCCTCTTCTGAACAGGGTCAGAAATGAGCAGTAAACCCCCAAATAATCCAATATAAACATTATGCACTCATTAATCCACAAAACAGTAAAAGAAAATATGGGGATCCAAATAGAAATTTAGAAGCTGTTCCAGTTGTCTGTGGACAGTAGATGAAACTATTTATTTTTGTACAGATAATTTTAATTTTGAAAATTCCTGATGTTAAATTCCTTAAAAAAAGAATCTGTGTACTATTAAATAGTACATTGGTGGTGTTTAAAAAATATATAAACCTTAGTAAAGAGATGAACAGTATGAATGGTTTTTTGCACATAGGTTTTAGCTAGTTTTATGCTTGAAATATATGTGTTTTGTGTTTTAGTACTGTTTTCAAAGCAGGAAAGGTTGGAAAAGTTTGTGCAAGTCAAAAGATGTGCTATTTGTCTTGCCCTGACAAATGCTGACTACCAAATACCCATTAGCTGCATTAGGGGATGCAGCTGCCAACTAGGAAAAGACATCATATTTTTGATGTTCTCCATTCATCTTACTAGGATGCTACCTTTCAGATACTATAATTACAACCATTTAAGTACTTCTAGTCATAAAAACAGCAAATTGTCATACCAGGATGATCTAGCTAATGAGCTTATGTAGTTATAGCTGGAAGTAACTGTCTTGATGTTCCATTCATTTGGAAGGATATTATCTAAAAATGCATGTTTTTGATAAATGAACTGTTTATTTTCCTGTGAGATACTTACTGATTTTTCATAAGAAATTGGCTAATCTTGAACTTGCATTTCTAGAGATGATGTAAGCATTCTTAAATGAAAAAGAAAGATTCAGTAGGCACAGAAATTTCAATGCAAATGTTTAATGACTTGGAGCCATTTGAAATATCAATCTGTCTGGACTTTGAATTAATTTTGCCTGAGAGACATGATCTCTGATCTGCCTTGGAAATAGGCAAGAAGTAATTTACTTTGTCTTAAGTGGATTTTGAGAGACCACGGGAGTAGAAAATGTTAGGAAGAAGGAAAGGGGAGATTATTATTTCCAAATTTCTCAGAAAATGTTAGGTAGACAGTTTACCACTTGAAAAATTGTGACTGTTTTTCAAAGGCTTTAACTTCTAAGTGATGTAAACAGATGAAAGGGAGAAAGGATTGTAGAATTTAAATAAAACTGGCAACACAAGGGGTAAAATTAAGAGTTAAATAGTGTTTTTACAAGTAAAATGTTTTGTGTCAATTTCTTATGCTTACAAACATTATTGATATATTTGGAAAATATATCTGATTTTCATATTTAAATTTTTTTTTTAATTGAATGGCAGAGATGGATTTTCCAAAGAAAACTGTTCCCTGCGGGTGTACATTCATGCCTTCTGTAGATCATTTTATGGTAGAATAGAACAGTCATTGTTCATTTTGAGAAAAAAGGACAATCAAAGGAATGAAGGACTGAAATGAAGAGAGGAAGGAATGTATGGTTAGCTAGTAAAGGTGCAGTTGGGTATTTCCTTTAGAATCTGTACTGTTTATTCAACTACAGGTTTATTTTCCAAACTGTTTTTTTCTCTTTTTTTTAACGATGAATCATTTTAAATAATGTTTAGATGCTTAAGCAGAAAAAGATGGGTAACAATGGAGGTATGGGGTGGTTATTAACTTATTTTGCAAGAATAAGAGAACTTATTTTTGTCAGATGGCATGTACTGCTAGTTTTTTAGAACTTGTTTTAGAAATTCTTTGTGTGTGTGAAGTCTATTCTAAAGCAATTGCAAAATATATATATAATATTCTGGTTTCAGAAAGAACAGTTGTACAACAGCCAGGGATAAGAACTTACAATATAATCTCTGGGGTTTATAGTTAATGTGAAAAAAATTCCCACAGAATAATTACACAACCATTTTACACTTCATACAAAATGCGATAGGCATTAGTGGATTCATTGTATTTCTATCCGAGCTGTATTTAAAATGTTACTTTTAAAAGATGAAACTACTTTATAAAAGACAATAATGGTATTTGGTATTCTTGCTCCTTTAATTTAATTCCCTGAACAGATATTTTAACTTTTTTGCCTATTCTCAGGAAGGGATTTTCTTTTCCTTTTGTATTTTCTGTATTTTATATAAACCGTTCAAGAAGTAAAATCAATCCTGATTTTTAGATGGCCATTTCTATTTATAAATGCTATAGAGAAGCAACTGAAACTGATAATATTCTACCGTCAGCTGTATTTTTCTGGAAAACTTATTTCAAACTTAAAGTTACAGTGATTGTTGCAATTTTGAAATGTATAGAACTGGATGGGGGGCAGGAGGACAAGTGTGAACAAATTGTTAAATGTAAAAAAGAGGGTGATCTTTGTGGATAAGTTACCTAAATTATACTTTCTGTATTAATGTGGTTATCTGCATTGGAGTTATTTTTAATCCTAGTATTTCTCTTCTCCCCTCTCATAGCTTTATAACGAGTTGAGTTTATGTTTTGAAACTGTTAAAACAAGTGAAATTCAACTGCAGCAGAGCTGTGCCTCTCTTCAGGATCACTTACTTGAAAAAGATAAAACAATTTGTCTGTTGCAAGTCCAACTTCAGGAAGCATATAATGCTTCTAATGCAGTACATCAGAATTCTTCTCCAAAATATCAGATGCAGGTGAGTCCTCTTCTAGAATAATAAAAGTTGTTTCTCCATTTAAATTAAGCTTCTGTATCAGACAGTTTTAAAGGAAATTGCAATTTGGTGTTTGTTTTTCTTTTTTTTTTAGAAACAAACATGCAACTATGCTGCTGCAGTACTGTAACAAATTCTGCTGTTGCTAATCAAAGCTACTTCACAATTGAAGTTATGGGGGAAAAAAAGAGTAATGGTGTCACTATTCAACAAGACTCTTATTTATATTCTCTAACGAAGATACCAAAAATAAAAATAAAACGACAGTGCTACTGTTACTGAAAACAAATTCACTGAAAAAATTGTGAAGTATCTGAATTTCTTCTATCAAAATGAAATGTATTGTTTCTGATTTGTTACACTTTTCCTGACTGTGCAAATAAATTTGAGATCACGAATCTAAAGAAAGTTTTATGGTGGAGAGAAGCATTTGTCTAAAAATTTCTAAGCTTTAGTGTGCCATTTGGAACTATTACCATAAATACATCCATCTAACAGGCCTCCAACTTTACAAGTGTACCGGGTCTTACATGTTAACTCCGGACATTTTCCGAAGGCCAATTTATGACTCGAAGAGAGTTTGAAAGGCTTTGAAATTATCTACCCACATTGTTTTTGTAAACACCGTTGCTTAGTTTCTTCTGTAGATGCTTCAGTGAGGTGTACATGTGAGTTTCAGTTTTACTAACACTCTTTCCCTTGATTAAGTAGAGAAGTGAAAATAATTAAGGTAATAATGCTTGTTAAATATAAAACTTTGCTTAGCATGGTGAGATACAGTAGATCTGTAATCAAGGATTATATTAATAAGAAAGTTGAATATTAAAAAAACCCCATAGTGTTTAATTCCTCAAGACTTGTGTAAATAGTAACCTGCTGTAAAACAAAAAACACAGAATGCAGTATCTCCTGGATTTGTTCTGATAGTCTTTCCAGAATAAATATTCTAACTTTATTTGTTGTAAAATTCTTATTCTGTACTGTCATAGTTTGAGATGGCCCCCCCCAGGAGTCAGGGGCTCAGAGGTGATTGGGTGCCAGGGCAGTGTTCCCTGGAGAGCCAGTCACCACTCACGTTGTTCACTTCTGCTCAAAAATCATATAAACACAGCACCAGAAGCTGTTGGTATATTTTCTGTTGGTGTCTGCTGCGTGTAGGTGGAGAAGGCCAGGGGGTGGCTGGGCTCCTTGTTCCTCCCCTCCAGGGGTGGGGAGGGGAGCCTTGCGGCCCCCCTAACTCTGCCTAGGCCAGAGTTAGAGACAGCATTGGAATGAGTGCATGTTTGTGAGGGATGCGACTCACAAACAACTGGTAAGCGAGGAGAGAGAGGCAGGCCTTGTGGCCGGGCCCTCTTCTTCCCCCCCCTTTGCAGCCAGGCTGCAGAAGGGTGCTGTTTTTCCCTCTCGCTGTTTAGTGGGAGTGGATTTTAAGGCTCAGCATTGGAGCAGAGCCAAAGTGGATGGGCTAAATACAGCTCAGTACCAGGGGAAGAGAAACCCCCAGGCGAAATTAGAGACGGACTGGAGAGAGGCCCGGAGGATGTCTTTCACAGTGATTTAAACACAGGACAACCGAAAACCCGGAGGAGGAATGAAATTCCAGGATGCGTATGTTGATAAACTGACTACACTACAGCAGCCTACGAACCGAGGTATGAGAGGACAGACACAAAGCTATCTTTGTTGACTTCGAAGGAAAAACTTCAGCAAACAGCTGAAGGTTGGTAGGGAGTGTTCAGAGGCCCCAAACACTCCCACAAGAGAGACTGCATTACGTATCAGCCTTGGAAGGCTTTTCCTGGACTAAAGTTAAAGGGAGGGGCTTAAAAGGACTGATAGAAGTGTAATATATATACATATATATATATATATATATATATTTGCCTTTAATTTGTATAGTATTTATTTGTGTAAAATAAATGTATATACTTCCCCTTCCCCCTATAGAAGCCTCTGGCCTGAAAGTTTTCTCTTCGGTGTCGGGATAAATTGTGGCAAGGGCTGGGGGAAGCCTGGAAATTGGATTTTGGATTTCTAATGCGGCTCAAACTGCCACATGTATTTATATGATTTTCAAAGTTCCACTTAATCTAATGATGCAACAATTTTGTTTCACAAATGATAAAATACATTCTTTTAAGTATTGTGAAGTGTTTACCTCTTGTTATATTCCAGACCTCTTCCTAAGTCTTGAAATTTAGGCATTTTTCTTTTAGAAGATTTTAGTGATTTTTTCTAAACATTATAAACTTAGTCTCCATGCAGCTTTGGATCATAGTTTTTGAATTTTCAGGTTGTATTTCTCAATAAATCATTGAGCTTTCATCATATTATATGGCTCTGAGGAGTTCTTTACAGTTTATTTTGTCATGTGATTTGATTTTTTTATCTTTAAAGCTTTCATTATGTCTCTGGATTATTTTTCCTGAAGTTAAGGAGGCCTTAGTTGTCGTTGTGAAGTGATCTTATAATGCTTTCCTCCATATACAACACCTATATTGCCAAACCTGGATATTGTGTGACAGTTTAGTAGATTCTCGCCCTCTATCTACTCTGCTCATGCGAGATCCCCATCTGGAGTGCTGTGTACAGTTCTCATGTCCCCAACATAACACAGACAGGGAACTGTTGGAGCAAGAAGGAACATGAAGTTTATAGGAGGATTGTAGCATCTCCCCTACAAGGACGGATTGAGAAAGTTGGGGCTGTTCAGCCTGGAGAAGAGAAAGTTGTGTGGAGACCTCACAGCAACTTTCCATTATCTAGAGGGAAGCCAGAGAGGGACTCTGTCAGGAACTGTAGTGACAGGACAGGGAGTAACTAGTACAAATTGAAAGAAGGGAAATTTAAGGTAGATATTACGATGAAATTCTTTACTTTGAGGGTGGAAACGCTGGAACAGGTTGCCCAGGGAGGTTGTGGATGCCCTAAACCTGACAGTGTTCAAAGCCAGGTTGGATAAGGCCTTGAGCAACCTGGTCTGGTGAGAAGTCTTCCTGTGTTTCTCAAGCATGTGGGACACTACAGCTGACTCTTTCCCACTGAGTAAACAAAGCATTTATTGCTATTACTTATTTCTTATATTTAAAGCAATTCTGTAACTGTAAGATTTTTTTCTCCCTTGAAAATACAGCAGCTGGGTTTCTTTAGGAGCTCCTAGTATAGAGCTTTCATGAAATGCATTTCAAATCCAAGTAGAAAATTTGACTTGGATCAATTTTCTTTTCTTCTTTAAAGAACTTCAAGAAATTTCTGAGGCCAAAAGTAAGATTATTTTAAAAGTTAACAACAATCTACATTAGTGATTCAACTTTATACTTGATTTCCTTTGGATATTTTAAATTAATTGCATCCAGCGTGGGTGAATTGTTACTGTTTGTTGATTTATTCCCTGTCTTCTTCCAGTGGTCTCTGAACTTGAAGTGCTTTCACCAGTATACTCCATGTAAATTAGCATCTAAATGTGAAGCAGTCCTAAATTCAGTTATGGTTCACTTAATGGTGAACATGGGTGCAAATAATTATTTTCCTATGACCTTCTGTTGGCTTCCTGCCATATTTCATAGAGAATTTCTTTTTTTGTTAGTGAATGTAAGTTCAGTTGGACATTTTGCAGGAATATATTAGTTGAACATTCATGTGATCTGTCATGAGCTCAGTCAGATTATTTACCAATCCTAATGTAGAAGATAAGGTAGGAAGCAGAAGTAGACAACTTGTGATAATGAATGTAATATAGTAAGCTAAATGTAGTGTATGAAGCTTCATTTTTCAGTCAATTAATCTTAAACCAGGCTGTGGTGGGACAAATGATTAGTGTTACTGAGCAGCCTCATAGAGAAGGAAACGTCTTTCGTTAGGATACATAGCTACTAGGTTTGTTGAGAGATGTTGAAGCAGTATGTGCTTAAGATGCTTAATGTTTTCTCTTGACTAACATTCTTGCATTCTGCTATAACAAGTATCCCAAATTTTATTGACATGCAGTCCTGCTCTGGTTGAAAGGCTACAGTATGCCTTTTCGGAATGTATCATAATGCTCATTGTTGGCTGCATTTTGATGACAGACAAATTTCCCATGATCAACTTTACTATTTTGTATATATTTTAGAAAGGTAATGGTTTTTGTGTGTTTTCACAGCTGAGGTTTCTGCAGGGGAAGAAAGGTGATTACCTATCACTCCTTCTCTGAACTGTTAGATAAGCATAATTCTGTTCATTTGTGAAATTCTGAAGTTAAATATGATTAAGAGGAGCCTCCTAACTTACTCTGCTATCTCTTGACTGCAACATTAGAAAACAATGGATTTGGAAGTGAGGCTTAATTAACAGGACACCAAAACAATGTAGGCACCTACAAGTTTTCCTATTACCATTCCATGAAACAATCCTTCCTAAAAAAGTAAGTTGGTTTAAATGCAATTTTATTTCTGCTATAAAATACTGATTTCTTGAGCATATTCAGATTCATGCTGAAAGTTCATCCAGTGTGACATGCTAACAGTCTATTGACAGCACTGATGTATCTTCTTCAGACATTCAATAGCTAGTATACATCAGTGCTGCATATATATTAGCACTAACTTTTTAGTGGATTTGAACTTTTCTTGCTGTTGAGATTACATCATAGTCAGACAAAAATGAGTTTTATATTGGCTTTATTAGCAAGAATATCTCTTTTTTCTTTCAATAAGGGTAAAATATGCCTTTTTAAAATATTGTAATCTTAATCTAGTCAGCATGGCACTTCTGTTGGTGAGGGCAAACTTTTGCTTCATTTCATTTTGCCTGTTCTGCTAATGTGTGTCATAAAGAATTTGAGTCTGCTTTACAGTAAATTTCTATTTACATATTAGAATGTGTGCATTCAGCAGCTCTCAAATGCCTGATCTCTGCTCAGAGATTAGCCACCTTTGAATCTGGAAGTTATTTTAGTTGGATCTATGCTCAGGCTACGCAGTAAAAGAAAATTAAATAATTTT